GGACTTCAACTCCCAGAATTCCTGAGCCAGCATGGCTCAGCTTGGAAACCTCTCCCTTTCCCCTCAGCACAGCTGGCTCAGGAATTCTGGGAGTTGAAGTCCACAAGTCATAAAAGAGCCAAGGTTGCCTACCCCTGGTCTATGGAGCTATCCAGGTCACGATTGTCCCAAAGGTGCTTTTTCAAAAGGCAACTGGACTTTCTTGTTTTTCTTTGAAAAACAAAAAACAAGAAAGTCCAGTTACCTCTTGAAAAAGCACCCTTGGGATCACTCTGCATGGTTCCCCTAAATTGTACAGTGTGTTCTCAATGGCTTGCTTTCCCCACTCAAGGCCAGGAATTTCCCCCTTCCTGAGTTTAAACTAAGGTTATTTTTAGATGCCAGGATTTTTCAAGGCTTGGCAGGCAGCAGAGAGGAAAGAATTAGAGGGCAAGAGACTGGAAGAGAACAGATGTAATTCCATCTGCCTGGATAAATCGAAGTAAGGAAGAGGAATCATCTAGCCAGAGAACTTTTGTTTGCCAGTGCAAGGATTTCTGTCAAATTGAAGGCTATTCTAGGATCCGAGAAACATCACAGGTTAAATATTGGTTTGGAAACAGTTTCTTCCAGACAGAAACTGCAGTGAATTGCACTCTGAAATTCTCAGTTTTCCTGAAATGGTTGCCAAAGGCTGCTAAATTCGTTTTCTGGGTTCACATAATACAGCGATTCATAAAGGAGCGAATCAGTGGTTGGTAGAGCACAACAGGCAGAAAAAAAATTATATATTTTATAATATATATATATTATAATTATATAAAATTATATGTGTGTGTGTGTGTGTGTGTGTGTGTGTGTGTGTATGTCTCTAATTATGTTAAAAATTCAAATCCTGGGTGATGCCATGTAGTAAAAACAAATAAATATGAACACCAGGATAATATCAAACTAGGATTTTAATAAAATGCTGAGCTTTCGTCAGCCAGCACTGCCAACATCATCAGAGCATAAAAACAAGTCAATGGGAGTTTCCTTTTTATAATGCTGGCTGATTTTGCGCACGTTATAAAAAGGGAACTCCCATTGACTTGTTTTTATGCTCTGATGATATTGGCACTGCTGGCCAATGAAAGCTCAGCATTTTATTAAAATCCTAGTTTGATATTATCCTGGTGTTCATATTGTTTTTAATATATATATGTGTGTGTGTGGTGTGTGTGTGTGTGGGATGTGTGTGTGTGTGTACTGCAAGAACTCCCTTGCTCCCTCCCCCACCTGACAGCAGACACTTATTGTATCTGCCTGCTTGAAAGGGAAGGGGGAAGGAAGGATGGATGGATGGATGGATGGATGGAAGGAAGGAAGGAAGGAAGGAAGGAAGGAAGGAAGGAAGGAAGGAAGGAAGGAAGGAAGGAAGGAAGCTTTCTAATGTGCCCTGCCAACTTCCCATAAGCAAACTCACTGTGGAACTAGCAGGGAGTTGGAAGTTGCTCCCACTCCCACCTTTTTGCCCACCTGTGGTCATTTCTCTGTTTAGGTAAGGAACTTATCTCTGAAAAGGTGACTTAACTGGTCACGGATTGTTGTTATGCCGAGGGCTGCCTGTATTCTACTGGGAAATAGCCTAGCCTAGCATAAATATTCCCCAATCCCCAAATCTAATGAGTAATTGCTATTTAGATTTAGAAGCTGCTTTTCCTTCAGAAGTACCAAAGTTTTGTTTCCTATAAGGTTAGTCAGATGAACTCTCCCCATGCAAGGTCAACACCTTGACTCAGCCCCACATTCTCCTTTTTGAGCAAGAAACTTTCATATTTTTTTTTACCGTCTCCTTCCCATCACTCAGACATATTTCATTGCTCCTTTTCTCCAAGGAAGCTTTACCAGGGATCTCTTTCCTTGAAAATACACCACACCCATTGAAACCTAAAACCTGCTGAACAAGTTATTTATCCAGGTTAACCACCCAAAGGACAGGATTCAACCAACCCCAGCAATTCACTGGCCAAAATTGCTTTGGGAGACGCTTCTTACAAAAGTAGGGAGAGGCAACCTCAAAACCACAGGCAGACCAGCAAGCTCTTGTGCTCTAGAATGGTTTTTGGAAAAGCAATCTGAAGGGCAGGAAAAATTCAGAATTTCATCTGCCAAGTTTTTAGCACCCTCTGGCGGGTAAAGACAAACAACCTCCATCTCACTAAACTTGGTTGGATTCAGTCACTCTATTCTTTCTTTTTTCAAGGCACAATTCCCAGGAAGCTAATCCTGGCTAGTGAATTAAGCCATTTTCTGGATGTTTCTAGTGTAAGGTAGTTCTTTCTTTCTTTTCTTTTCTTTCATTTTTCTATCATTTGTTCTTTCTTTCTCTCCTTTTCTTTCTGTCTCTTTCATTTTATTTCTATCTTATCTCCTTTCTTTCATCTTTCTGTCTCTGTCTCATTTTTATCTTTCATTCTTTCCTTTTCTTCTTTTTTTCTGTCATTTTATTTCTCTTATCTTCTTTCTTTCTTTCTCTTTTCTTTCCTTTGTCTCATTTTTATATTTTTCATTCTTTCCTTTTCTTTTTCTTTCTTTTCTTTCTGTCATTTTATTTCTCTTATCTCTCTTCCTTCTTTCCTTCCTTCCCTTCCCTTCCCTTCCCTTTCCTTTCTCTGTCTTCCTGTATCTCATTTTTCTTTTTATCCTGTCTGTCTGTCTGTCTGTCTGTCTTCCTCTTATTCTCCACTGGGCATAATAATCCAAATGGGAAGAACTTGCTGGCTTAATCCAAATGGGAAGAACTTGCTGGCTACACATAGAGATATTTTTGCCTAATGGGAAGACCAAAAGAGCTTGAGTTTCTTTGCCTATTTAAAGCCGTAGCTTCGAGCAGGACAAAAAAAATGCTGAGTCCACAGCCCAGAGACAAATGGATTGGGGGTGGACTCTGCCACCTGTTAGACGTCTGACTTCTCGACGGTACTCCATTATTCAGCAATATTTGCTCTCCAAAAAGCAGCCATTATTAGGGGTTTGTAAAACCAACTGGATCCCGTTCTCAGGGCAAACATCTCTAGGCAATGTCTGTCTGGAAGAGAATCATGGTTTTATATTTACCTACAGGGAAGGACAGAGCTTGGACACACTTCCAACCATCTGCTCAGTTGGCACTGTGTCATCCAGATCTACTTGGCAAAATTAAGAGTGCCTGGCTGCCAATTGTACCCATTAAGCGCCCTTTCCTGTACTTGGTGGCTTAAAGCTGCTGCTGATGTGATTAAGTTGCGAAGGGAATTGAATCAGGCACAACGATGCCCCAAGCTGAGTCACAGGAATGCAATAGGACACACCTGCAATGAAAACCTAAAGAGAAGCTGACACTGAGGATTAAATTCTCAAATTCTTTCCCAATTTCTATGTTACTGGGTCTTACAAGGGGTGACACCATACCGATGGTCATACTTGTAACCCAAAAGCTTGAAGCCAGATGGAATTTCATTGCATTTGATTTTATTACAAGCTTCTAAAACTGCTTCAAAATCTTGGTAACTTGAAGATGTCTGGACTTCAACTCCCAGAATTCCCCAGCAAACATGGGAGTTGAAGTCCATCCATCTTAAAGAAAAACGGCCATAAGTCATTTTTTTTCAATGTCGTCATAACTTCAAGTGGTCACTAAATGAATCGTTGTAAGTCAAAGAGTATCTGTATCTTTACATATAACTTTTCAACCAACAGGAAAATAGGAACAGAATCCTGTATGGCTTAAAATTCAGGAAAGATCCCAGACACTCTTCCCCAGTCAGATTCACACTATATTCTTAACCTTCAACCCAGATGAATAAGCAATATTTCTTATCCAAAGCTCTGCCAAAATAAATTCGCTCTCAAATGTGCTCCATTCGCACAACATGTTAAGACAGTGTTTCTCAACCTTGACAATTTTAAGGCACGTGGACTTCAATTCCCAGAATTCCACAGCCAGCAATGCTGGCTGTGGAATTCTGGGAGTTGAAGTCCACATGGCTTAAAATTGTCAAGGTTGAGAAACACTGTGTTAAGATAATGGTTGGATTCCCACAACTGGCTGAATCACCAGTTCTAGCGTCATGCATATTTGATGGACAAACCCAGTTTGGGATCTTCTCCAGTCTCTTAAGCAAATGAGAAACATTCAAGATTGAATTTTGCAGAACCCAAAGGCAGCAACAGGTAGTTCAGGAAATATATAGATCTAGGGAACAGCCCAGTCTTCTGCTTAGCATTTTCCAGTCTGGTCCATACTGCAAACATTGGGCCCAGATTTTTGCCTTGCACTTAAGGGCCTCTCCGCCCACAAGAAGATTTGTGGAGTGCTGTGGGTGCTAATTAAGTGTTGTCTTGCAAAGTGCAACAAAAGACAAGGAAGGCTAGTCATGGCCCATTGGATCATTCATAGAATAACAGAATTGGAAGGATCTTGGAGGTTTTCTAGACCAAATTCCTGTTCGAGCAGGAGACCCTATACCAGTGGTGGCAAACCTATGGCAGGCATGCCAGAGGCAGCACTCAGAGCCCTCTCTGTTGGCATGCACACCACCACCGCCAGCAGCAGATCCATCAGGCCGCCACCGCTGCCTGGAGCAGGAGCCCCACCCACCACAAAGGAGGCAAAGTGGCAAGCTTGAGTAGAGGTGGTAGAGCAGAGGTCACCAACCATTGTTGATTGGTAGACTGGAAGAAAAGAGAGGGGAAGCATTTTACATGCATGCATGTGCACACGGGGCTGTGAGCACGCACACGCTGCAAATGGGGCGGGGCTAGTGCCTGCATGATACTCACTAGCCCTGCCCCATCCTTGCGTGGTGCAGCGCCTTGTATCTGCACTCCGCAGTGCTGCTGTGGCCATTTTTGCACCTTGCAGCACGGTGGCCCCCCGGGTTTTGCATGCCAGAGGCGGCACTCAGAGGCACCTCCCTCCCCCCCCTCCCGAGGGCACCACAATACTGATCCGGCCCTGGCACTTTGTGATAAATAAGTAAGTTTTGGGTTGTGGTTTGGGCACTCAGTCTCTAAAAGGTTCGTCATCACTGCCCTATACCATTTCTGACAAGTGACAGTCCAGTCTTTTCTTGAAAGCTTCCAGTGATGAAGTTCACACCACTTCTGAAGGCAATTTTTTTCCATTGGTTGATTACTCTCCCCTTTAGGAAATTTCTCTTTAATTCGAGATTCAAAGTCCTTATTTTGCCTTTTGGTTAAATCTACATCTTTTCCTTCCCAGCATGGCTGATTGTGCAATAATTTGTCAATCACCTTGATCTGCTCCTCTATCATAGGCAGGTAACTGTGTGTCGGGGAAACAACTTCTCCCCAATCATTGAAGGGCAGTTTAAGAGAAGGCTTCAAAGTTTTCATAGCTGGTGAAATTCCGGAGGAGTTCTCTGATATTCTGGAAGTCCGGCCTTTGATTGGGATCCAGGTTCCAGCATTTACACATGATGAAGTACATGACAGGGGGGCACCTGGCCGGGCGGTGCATCTGGAAACCATTTTGAACCTGGGTGGAGACCTCGCAGTTACTCATGCCTGTGGAAAGAACGGAAAATGCAGCATTATTTATGTATTTTGCGTATGGCACAAAATACATGGATTGCAGTACAAGCAGTCCTCAACTTATGACTACAATTGAGCCCAAAATTTCTGTTGTTAAGTGAGATATTTATTAAATGAGCTTTGCCCCATTTTACGATCTTTCTTCCCACAATCACTGCAATCACTGCAGCTGTTAAGTTAGGAACACGATTGTGAATGTGGCTTCCCCATTGACTTTGCTTGTCAGAAGGTCACTAAAGGTGATCATATGACCCCAGGACACTGCAACTGTCACAAATTCATGCCAGTTGCTAAGCATCCAAATTGTGATCATTTTGACCATGGGGATGCTGCAATGGTCATAAATATGAAAAAAGGGCATGTCACTTTTTCAGGGCCATTGTAACTTTGAATGGTCATTAAATGAACTTTTATAAGTTGAAGATTATCTGTAGTAAAGATGTATTGAAGGAACACCTATAATACAGTATATCTATGGATATTCTCAGTCATCCAGGCCAGGGTTGTCTCAAAGGTGCCTTTCCAAAAGGCAACTGGATTTTTTGTTTTTTTCCCTTGGAAAACATTTTGCTTCTCATCCAAGAAGCTTCTTTATTTCTGACTGAATGATGGGGAATAGAAGGATTTATACTTTTTGGATCTGCTCTGGGGGTCAGTCGTTAGATCTCTAGAGTTGCGAGGAACCATAATAAATAGTATGTTAAAGAACTGCATACCAGCTGTCCAGATGAAGTCAGAGACAATAACACAAACTTGTAGTCTTTTATATGCAGTATAAACATATTTAACATTCAAACTTTAGCAGTCTTTGTCATCATCCAGAAAGAAAAATGCAAGATAGTCAGGAACGCAGAAACATCATGAGGTAAATTAAACAGTACACAGTGCCCACAGGAAAAAAAAAAAGGCGGGAAAAATAGGAAACTCCCCTTTATACCCACAGCAACCAATCATAACGTAAATTACATCATGCCTGAGTCAGCACTCTCTAACTTAAGGGTGGGGAACTATGGCCCTTTTGATGACTTGTGGACTTCAGCTCCCAGAAGTCCAATGGCTGGCTCAGGAATTCTGGGAGTTGAAGTCCACAAGTCATAAAAGGGCCATGATTCCCCACCCCTGCTCTAACTACTACAACTGTGTGTTGCATGTCTATGGAGATGCTCAGTCATCCAAGTATGGTTGTCCCAAAGATGTTTTTTTTTTTTCAGGAGGCAACTGGACTTTCTTTTTTCTTTTTTTTTTCTTTGAAGTCATTTTGCTTCTCATCCAAGAAGCTTCTTCAGCTCTGACTGGATGGTGCAGAGTGGAAGGAAAAAAAAAACCCAAATGAAAACAAGAAAGTCCAGTTGCCTCCTGAGGGGAAAAAAAAAAGCATCTTTGGTACAATTGTATGTTCTGGCCTAGAGTACACCTTACCTTTCTAGCTACTAAATTCAATATCCTAACATAATAATTCTCAGAAAGGGATCCAGAAGGGAAAAGGCTGGTCCTAAGCATCCCCAACCAAACTCAGTAGCCTTGTTCCCATACCTGGATACGGGTTCTGCCCCCGAGTCATGACTTCGTAAAGGAGGATGCCGAAGGACCACACGTCAGATTTGATGGAGTAGCATCCACAGGAAAGGGCTTCCGGTGCGGTCCATTTGTAAGGCACACTGTGTGAGTAAGAGAGGTAAATATCTTCCTGCAAGACAAAAACACAGGGTGATCCACTTTGTACGAAAACTCGACATTTCTTGATCCCCAAAAGGGGTCTGTACAGACAAGATCCAGTCAGGAAAGCGAGTGTGGGGTCATGATCCACACCCTGCCCCTTCTGTACGTTATAGGTAGTCCTCGACTTGCAACAGTTCTTTTAGTGACCATTCAAAATGGCAAGGGCACTGAAAAAAAGTGACTTAGGACCGTTTTTCACACTTATAACCGTTGCAACATCCCCAGGGTCATGGGATCAAAATTTGGGTGCTCAGCAACTGGTTCATATTTATGACGGTTACAGTGTCCCGGGTTCGTGTGATCCCCCCTTTTGTGACCTTCTAACAAGCAAAATCAGTGGGGAAGCCAGATTCACTTAACAACCATGTTACTAACAATTGCAGTGATTCACTTAACAACTGGAGCAAAAAAGGTCGTAAAATGGGGCAGAATTCACTTAAGAAAGGTTTTGCTTAGCAACAGAAATGTGGGGCTCAACTGTTGTAAGTCGAGGATTGCCTGTAATGTCAGGCGTGTATTATATTCCTTTTTATTTTTCATATTATTCTTAGTTTGCATTAATTTGTTACCATTATACTTTTAAACATCATTAAGTTATAAAAAAAGCTGACCAATCTCCATCCCTAACTTTTCAGCAATAATAAATAAGTATATATTGACAGATCCAAATCTTTCTATATATCAATCGATAGAGCAATCCTAAATATGTACTGCATAGGGAGATCTGAATCTATCTCTCTGTCTATCATCGTTATTTATCTATCATCTATCTACCATCTTTCTCTCTCCCCCTCCCTCCCACCCTCTCTCTCTTTTTTTCTCTCTCTCTCTCATCTATCCTTATTCTATTTTATTTTAACTTACTTCTATCTATTTCTTTTTTAGTGTTATGCCTTAGTTTTAGACCAATAATATTCTTGGTTTTCTTTGGTCCTAGAGACCTAGCTTACAGTGGCAACAAAAGTGATAATATTATTGCACATGATTGTTTTAGCTTGTGTTTTACACTGGCCTTCCTCTTTTACTTTTAAACAGCTTGTTAATTATTTTGTTCTCGATTTACGACCTTAAAGGAGCTTACCCATTACCGTTGTAAGTCATCATGATTGTAAAGCAGGTCAACACATGACTGACCCAAGATTACAACCTTTTTTTGTGAGGTTGCTAAGCAAATCGCTCTGGTCATTAAGTGAATCTATAGTCATTAAGTGTATCCATTATTTCCTCTGGTTTGCTCTGGTAGGTTTTTGTCAAAAACCGGAAGTAAATGTCAGTTTTCAGCAAAAACATTGTAAATTGTGGTCATGTAACCACAGAGGGCTGCACATAGTCGTAAATGGGGGCCAGTTTCTGAGCACTGACCACTGGAGTGTGGGGCATTGAAATTTCAGAACCGAGTCATAAGTATCTTTTTTGGGAGGGGGTGTTCATTGTAACTCTGACCAATTATTAGGTGATTGTTCGTAAATAGAAGATTACCTGTCTGGTAATCCTCAATTACCAGTCTTAAACTGAAATAAAGTTTGACCGGACATATTCATCCTGCAATTTGGCCTTTCCGGATTAAATCCTATTTTTCTGCCTGCGTTTGAGTCCCAGAAGGATTGAAAAGTACCTCGATCAGCCTGGCCATGCCGAAATCTCCCACTTTGCAGATGTTGCTTTCTCCCACCAGGACGTTCCTGGCAGCCAAATCTCGATGGATGAAATTCTGCGATTCCAGGTAGCTCATCCCTTCGGCCACCTGGGTGGCCAAGCTGACTAGCTCCGCCATCTCCATCTGTTGCCCCTCTGGACCTGGGAAGAAACGGATAGGGACAACCTCATGAGAACATCCTGGACCACGAATTTTTTTCCTCAAAAACAGTGGTTCTCAACCTTTTTAATGCCGTGACCCCCCAACCGGTCGTAAGTCGAGGACTACTCAACTGGTCGTAAGTCGAGGACTACTCAACGGGTGCAGCACTGTTTGAAGAATGGGACTTTTGGCGGGCTCAGCAGGGCAGAGACAGCCTGGACAATTCCTATTGGCTTTTGAAAGCCAATAGAATTAGACTCTATTCAAGAGAGTCCATTCTATTGGCTTTCAAAAGCCAATAGAATAAAAGGGAGTAGCACAGCTAAGGAAAAGGGGAGAAAAAATGGCGGACTGCATTGTTTGGCGACCCCCATGAAATGGTCGTTCGACCCCAAATGGGGTCCCGACCCACAGGTTGAGAACCACTGCTCAAAAAGCTTCACTGCCCTTTTGGATGGAGATAGCAAGCGACATCATCTTGCACATGGAGATCAGAAAAAGATAACCTGCTACCCATGGGCATCAAAGGCGGTTCCCCCTACAGGGACCACCCAGTAGTGGGCCAGATGTTTCTAGTCTGAAATTCAATTTCAGCTGTTCTGATGCTGGACACTTCCTGTCTGAGTACAAAGCATTGGGCATTAGAAATAACTCAAGGTGGCAAACATATCCAACGTACCTCCCTCCACCTATTCTCCCCGCAACAACGACCCTGTGAGGTGGGTTGGGCAGAGAGAGTCCCAGGCCCGAAATCACCCAGCTGTCTTTCATAACTAAGGTAGGACTAGAACTCACTGTCGCCTGGTAATTGGCCAAAATCACCCAGCCAGCTTTTATGCCTCAGGCAGGACTAGAATTCACCATCTCCTGGTGATTGGCCCAAAGTCACCCAACTGTCTTTCATGCCTAAGGCGGGACTAGAATTCACTCTCTCCTGATGATTGGCCCAAAGTCACCCAGCTAGCTTTTATGCCTAAGACAGGACTAGAACTCACTGTTTCCTGGTGATTGGCCTAAAGCAGGGGTAGGCAACCCAAAACACTCAAAGAGCCACTTGGACCCATTTCTCACCAAAAACAAAACACCGGGAGCCGCAAAACCGTTTTGATATCTAAAATGAAGATAACACTGCATATATCCTTTTTTACCTTTATTATAGGTGTGTGTGTTTGTGTATGTATGTGTGTGTGTGTGTATACACACACACACACACACACACACACACATAAAAAATAAAAGTAAAAATATCACTCTTGGGAATATCCATACTATTAAAACAATGATCACCGAGAGAATGCTTTAAGAGAATAAAATTACATACACACACACTCTGCCTCCCTCCCTCCCTATCTGCCCTTGGTCTGCCACTCCTCTTCCCCCACTCTCTTTCTTTCTCTCTCTCTCTCTCTCTCTCTCTCTCTCTCTCTCTCTCTCTCTCTCTCTCTCTCTCTCCCTCCCTCTCTCCCCCCCCCTCCTATCTGCTGCTCACCTGGCAAGCTTCAAGCTGTTGTCCAACAAGATCAGGGGTAGGCAACCTCGTCTCTTTTATGACTCATGGACTTCAACTCCCAGAATTCCTGAGTCAGCCTAGCTGGGCTAGCTAGCTCTCTCCTGCCCTTCCTGCTTCCTGCAGAGATGCAGCAAAGGGAGGGGCTCTGCCCAGTAAGCTTTTCAGCTCCGCGGGGAACACTGTGAGTGCACTCTCTTTTACACATACACACATACACAACAAACACATACAGAGAGAGAGAGAGAGAGAGAGAGAGAGAGAGAGAGAGAGAGAGAGAGAGAGAAGCAGGGAAGTGCAATTGCCTCTCTCTGTCTCTGTCTCTCTCTCTGCAAAGGCAGAGGAGGCTGGGAGCCACAGGGGGAGGCTCAAAGAGCCACATGCGGCTCCGGAGCCGCAGGTTGCCGACCTGTGGCCTAAAGTCACCCAGCTGTCTTTCATGCCTAAGGCGGGACTAGAACTCACCTTCTCCTGGTGATTGGCCAAAGTCACCCAGCTGGTTTTCATAGCTGAGGCGGGGCTTGAACTGACAGCCTCTTGCTTTCTATGCCTTAACCACTATTAGACTGAACCTCAGGACTAATGTAACTTTTAAAGTATTATTTTAGTTAAAAAAGGAGGACTATATGCATACATGTGTGTCTATGTGGTTGTTTTAGGAAAGTCAAGATGACTTCATGCCACACAACTGAAGTCTGGTGCCTTTTTTCAGGTAGTCCTTGACTTACATCCATTTGTTGAGCAATGGTTTGGAGTTATGACAATTGTTGCGTCCTTCGCGAAATGGCAATGACACGAGAAGCAGTTGTAGTTCTCAGGAACTTCTTTATTTCTGTTCAGCATACTGGTTACAAGATGCCGACAATGCCCAAATCTCCCGGCCTCTTTTATAGGCCATTCCCGAGCCAATCTGCAACATTTGGCGCGCCAGCACCCGCGCATGTGCGCAAGTGCTGGCGACAGCCAGTCTGGTCCCGGGCAGCTTGCACCTGTCCAGGACCGTTGCAATGCCCCGAGCCTGCTTCCACAGGCTCAGGACATAACAACAATGATGACAACAAGTGGATTACAACTGATCCTCACACTTACGTCCCTGCTGTCACGGGCTTGCTACTTGGGCACTTAGCAACCAGCTTGCATTTATGATGGTCACAGCATTTTCTACTCACATGATCACGATTAGTGACCATCCCAACTGGCTTCTGACAAGCAAAAGGCTGGATTCCCTTCACAATCACAAAATTTGCTTAATGATTGTGGTGATTTGCTTAACGACCGCAGTAAGAATGGCTGTGAAATCAGGTTTGGTTACTTGATAGCTCGCTTAACGACCAGATTGCTTAGTGACTGAGATCCTGGTCTCAATTGAAGTTGTAAGTCGAGGACTCCTTGCAGTGAGCATTGTGATACCCATCAGAATGGGGCTTTAACTGCAAAGTAAGCCTCCATCCTGACTTTTTTTGACACCCCTCTCTGCAGACACACTTGTAAAAAAAACAAAACACCAAACTTGCAAAATAGGTGCAATGCAAATTCAACCAAGCAACACCCAGCATTTCTCACAACTAGAGATAGCAAGAGTTTCCCAACTTTTTCAGGCCATGTTTTTTTTTAAAAAAACAACAACAACAACAACAACCCAAAACCCTGATCAAAGGCAGTTCTCGAGTGACAGAAAATTGGCTCTCTTTGAAGGATTTTTTTTTTTAATCCTTAGCCTTCCCAGAACCTCACCCAATTCTAAGGGAATTCTAGGAAACTCCTAATTCAGACGATTAGTGATTCATCACCCTAAATAACCCTATTTTATTGCTGAGAATATTGCTAAGATCCTTAGGCAATAAATAAAATCCATGAGGAGGCAAGGTGGGGCCAGTAGACCCCCCCTTTTTTGAGAGAGACTCAGATCCCTTAACACATGAATTATGCTCCTTATCTATTTTACAGCACCACTAGAATTTCAAAAAAACACAACATTAAGCTAGCAGAATAACAGAATAATTGTGTTCGGAAAAAGGACAAAGAGAAGCTGAGATTTTGGGAAATGCCTTGGAAAGATGAGAAAAGACTAGAGAAGTGGCCGTTTAGTCACCAAGGATGATGCAACTGACCACTATAACATATTTTTGCAAACAGGCCGACATGAAAACAGTAACAATTGTGGTACAGCAGAAGAATCTGCAATCAAAAGAGTCAAGAAGATGGCTGCCCCCACGGCGTGGAAGGCTTTACCCTTTTTTAAGTGCAATTGTGTGGAGTTTTTTTCTATCATCATCATCATCATCATCATCATCACAGAGTTGGAAGGGAACTTGGTGGTCTTCTAGTCCATCCCCCTGCTTTTCTGACCCCTTTTGGGGGGGACAGCATCACAATGGGTTATCCAATATCGAAATAGGGTCACTGCCCCCCCCAAATTACTTTCCCTTTGGGGTACGTGATTGCAAATCACACATGAGGAGTGGGGAGGGAGAAAAAAAAATCCTGCAGCACACAAAAACATGAAACAGCAGATTTCATAATGAAGCTGAACAAAATTATGCATTCTCAGTGGACCAGGAGAAGCTACTTTCTTTTCCCCAAAAACACTAGAACAGTGGTTCTCAACCTTTTTAATGCCGCGACCCCCAACCGGTCGTAAGTCGAGGTCTACCCAACCGGTTGTAAGTCGAGGACTTTCCCTGCCCGGGAGCGCCACACATGCGTGGTGCCGCCCCCTGCACCGGCCGAGGCGTAGCTGGCAAGGAGCAGCGACAGCACAGGGCAACCACCGGCTGGGCCACCAGCTGGCCCAGCCCAAGGGAGGTACGGCACCCGCCAGACCCCACGCCCACCAGCAACCCTCCCTGCGCCCGCCGGCCTCCCACCTCCCACCCCTGGCCCTCTTTTACTTACATTTTTAGTAGTTGCTCAGCAGGGACGGAAGCTTTCCTTGCAGCACTGTTTGCAGATTGGGGCTTTTGGCGGGCTCAGCAGGGCAGAGACAGCCTGGACAATTCCTATTGGCTTTCGAAAGCCAATAGAATTAGACTCTGTTCAAGAGAGTCTATTCTATTGGCTTTCGAACGCCAATAGATTCTGTTGGCTTTCGAACGCCAATAGAATAGAGTCTCTTGACTGGCTTTCAAAAGCCAGTAGAATAAGAGGGAGTAGCACAGTTAAAGAAAAGGGGGAAAAAATGGCGGACAGCCTTGTTTGGCGATCCCCGTGAAATTGTCGTTCGACCCTAAATGGGGTTGCGACCTACAGGTTGAGAACCGCTGCACTAGAAGGCACCCCGGGGAAATTGAACCCTGGAAGAATCAGTACAAACAAAAGGAAAATCAGGTAGTCCTCGACTTATGACCGTAATGGAGCCTATACAAATGGCTGTCCAGTCTCTTCTTGAAAGCCTCCAGTGACAGGGCACCCACAAATTCTGGAGGCAAGCCCCTTACGAGAAACAATGGTGGGAAACTGACCAAAGAGAAAAGCAACCTGGAATTAAGGAGAAACTTCCTGACAGTGAGGACAATTAACCAGTAGAACAGCTTTCCCTCCAGAAATCGTGGGCGCTCCATCCCTGGAAGTTTTCAAGAAGAGGCTGGACAGTCACTTGTCTGAAATGGTATAGGTTCTCCTGCTTGAGCAGGGGCTGGACTAGAAGACCTCCAAGATCCCTTCCAGCTCTATTCTGTTCTGTTCTGTTCCGTTCCATTCCATTCCATTCTGTGTTTATAGAGCTTGATTCTGTCTGTATAGGGCTAAATTAGTATTTTTCACCCTTGAGAAGTTTAAGATGCATGGACTTCCAGAATTCCCCAGCCAGCATGTCTAGGTTCTCCTGCTTGAGCAGGGGCTGGATTAGAAGACCTCCAAGATCCCTTCCACCTTCTATTCTATTCTATTCTATTCTATTCTATTCTATTCTATTCTATTCTATTCTATTCTATTCTATTCTATTCTATTCTATTCCAGCCTAGCCTAGCCTAGCCTAGCCTAGCCTAGCCTAGCCTAGCCTAGTCTAGTCTAGTCTAGTCTTGCTTTGCCATGGATCTGCTATGGCTTTGTTAAGGATACCTCTGGATGAAGGGGGTGAGACCAGGAAAAAGGCGATGATCGTCTTACCTCTAAGGAAGGTGAGCAGGTTCCCTTTGCTCATGATTTCGGTGATGATATAGACTGGATCCCCGCCAGAGCAGATGGCGTAGAGGGAGAGAATGTTTTTGTGTTTCAACAGCCTCAGGGCCTCAATCTCATTTTTGAAGGTGTCCTGGCACGTCAGATCGGCTGGGATGGGAGCAAAAGCTACAGTAAACTGCTCCATTCTGGTCACTTTCTGGGCATACAGGTAAATCCTCAACTTACAATCACAAATGAAGTCTGTTGTAACTTCAAATGGTTGCTAAGTGAGCAGTTGTAAGTCGAGGACTACCTGTCTAAAAAAGGGGGTGGGGCTTCATTTGCATGAAAAGCCCCAGCAGAGGGATCTCGTCATGTGACGCTTTCGTTTCTACCGCTCAGCTTTACCTCTGTGTAACACCTTCACCGCAACTTTCACTTTCTCTTTCCAAAGTCCCTCGTAGACTTCTCCAAAGTAGCCGGCGTCCAACTTCCGGATCAGTCGGAATTCGTCTTTGGGTCTCTCCCAATCGTCCCAGTGGGGCATGGCCTTTGGCTGCGGCTGGGGTCAAAAGGAAGTCAAAAAGGGGTTAACTTTCTCCAAGATTTATTGCGTGGACCATTTGCAACTTTTGTCCTCCCAATCACAGAAGTCCTTGACTTACGGCCGTTCGTTTAGTGACCGTTTGAAGATACGACGGCACTGGAAAAAAATGACTTAGGACCGTTTTTCACATTAATGACCATTGCAGCATCCCCATAGTCACAGGATCAAAATTCAGATATTGGAAACTGACTTGTATTTAAGACGGTCGCAGCGTCCTGGGGTCACGTGATCCCCTTTTGCGACCTTCTGACCAGCAAGGTCAATAGGGAAGCTAGATTCGCTTTACAACAGTGTTACTAACTTAACAACTGCAGTGATTCACTTAACAACAGTGGCAAGACAGGTTGTAGAATCAGGCAAAACTCACTTAACAAGCGTCTCTCTTAGCAACAGAAATTTTGGCCTCAGTTGAGGTCGTTAAGTCGGGGACTATGTGAATCTTTTGCCCTGCTTGTTTTGCAAAAAAGCAAATTCAGCTGCAAACCTTCGTTTTCTGCATGTAGTTTTAGGAATAGAATAGAATAGAATAACAGAGTTAGAAGAGACCTTGGAGGTCATCTAGTCCAACCCCCTGCTCAAGTAGGAGACCCTATACCATTTCTGATAAGTGGCTGTCCAGTCTCTTCTTGAAAGCCTTCAGTGATAAAGCTCTCACAACTTCTGAAGGCAATCTGTTCCAACTGATTAATTGTTCTGTCTGTCAGGAAGTTTCTCCTTAGTTCTAGGTTGCTTCTCTCCTTGATTAGTTTCCATCCATTGCTTCTTGTCTTTGGAGAATAGCTTGATTCCCTCTTCTTTGGGGCAGCCCCTGAGATACTGGAACCCTGCTATCATGTCCCCCCCCTTGTCCTTCTCTTCATTAAACTAGACATACCCAATTCTAGCAACCGTTCCTGATATGTTTTAGCCTCCAGTCCCCTAATCAACTTTGCTGTTGTTCGCTGCACTTTTTCTAGAGTTTCAACACCTTTTTTACAGTGTAGTGACCAAAACTGGTTGCAATATTCTAGGTGTGGCCTTACTAAGGCTTTATAGAGTGGTATCAGTACCTCACGTGATCTTGAGTGAATCCCTCTGTTAATGCAATTTAGGATTGCATTGTATTTTTTGTCTGCTGCCGCACACTATTGGCTCATATTTAACTGATTGTCCACTGAGACAGGGGTCCCCAACCTTGGCAAATTTAAGACCATGCTAGCTGGGAAATTCTGGGAGTTGAAGTCCACAGGTCTTAAAGCTGCCAATGTTGGGGACTCCTGCATTAAGACTTGAAGATCTCTCACACAGTTACTGCTAAAGGATGCTGAATACTGAAACTGTTCAACCTCAAATGGAAAACTTGTTTTTAAACTGGACTTTGACTGCCAGATTATTTTCATAACTGTATCCTGCCTTGGGGAATAACAGCCACGGAAACATTTTCTTGTGAGCCTGGTTTAAGGATGTGCTTAGGCTCCTTAAATTCATAAATCATCCAATGGCAGCTAACAGAGATCCTATTTCCTCTTACACCTCTGATCGATTGCTACCTCTATCAGAGGAGATTGCAGTTGCTAAGACAGCGTTTTCCAAACTTGGCAACTTTTTAAGATGTGTGGACTTCAACTCCCAGAAATCCACAGCCAGCGTGGCTGACTGAAGCATTCTGGGAATTGAAGTCCAGACCTTTTTAAAGTGGCCAAGATAGAGAAATACTGGGCTAAGATTAGCAGAGCGCCACCTGGTGGAGGTATCAGTCAGCTCAATTCAAGACTGGTTTGAGGGGGGCAGATTGAGGGAAAAAGTGTCTTGAGGGAAAAAGTGTCTTCCAAATATTTCACTCACCTCATCCTGAAGGAATCAGACAAAGAATACTAGAAATTGCACCCTCCAACTATATTTTTTATTTTGCTGTAAATACATGCCAGTTCCCAAGAACCTGAATTTTGATCACGTGTCCTGTCGTATTGTAAATGCGAGGACCAGCCACAAGTCACTTTTTCCAGTGCCGTTGTAACTGTGAACGGTCGCTAAACGAATGCTTGAAAGTCAAGGACCATCTGACACACCACCCATCTCATCTTAAAGTTGCTAAAATTGAGAAGCACCGGCCGACACACATATAAACAATGCCAATAATATGTAATAGATAAGGTGACCAACTTTTTTACAATGAAAAGGAGGATACAAAGAAATTGAAGAAAAAAATATTGTAAATAAAAGAAACATTTTATTCACTGCAACAATAATACAGACAACTTGCATGTGCAAAGTTTGCCAGCCAGGTGTTTTGGCGTGCTCAGCAGCAATTCCTATTGGCTTTCGAAAGCCGATAGTGGGAGTAGCACAGTTCATGCAAAAGTTGAAAAAAAACCCCACCAAAAAATGGCCGGAACGCCATTCTGAGCATTCTATGAGGGGAAAAAAAGCCCCGCAGATTAGTCTTCAAATATCGAAAAGGAGGACATGAAGGAGGACACTTTTTGAGGGAGGACAGAACTTACAAAAGGAGGACTGTCCTCCCTAAAGGAGGACGGTTGGTCACCTTATAATAGAGGCATGCAATCGACTGCACACCACACACACATGCAACCAGTGCATCCCACATACAACTGACTGTGCCATTGGACACTTGAAAACCAGTCTGGTCCCCAGTTGAAGATTAGAAGCTGTAAGTTGGTGGTGTCCAACTTTGGCAACATTAGGACTTGTGGACTTCAACTCCCAGAATTCCCCAGCCAGCCGTGCTGGCTGGGGAATTCTGGGAATTGAAGTCCACAAGTCTTAAATTTGCCAAAGTTGGCCACCCATGCTGTAAGGCAGGGGTCTCCAACCCCCGTCCATGGACCAGTATTGGGCCACAGCATGCCAGCAACCGGTCCACACAAACAAACAAAGCCCCATCCGAGGGATGCAGGCAGCACACAAAACCACGGATCCTCTAGTCCACGGAAAAACCTCTCTCCGTGGAACTAATCCCTGGTGCCCAAAAGGTTGGGGACCTCTGTTGTAAGGCATTCTGTACCCAGCCCTCTCTCACCTTGTAGCAGGGTGCTAGAAGCCTGAAGCCATGCGCAAGAACCTTTTCCTTATAGCACGTAACCAGGGTGAGCAAGTCGGGGAACGTCCTTGTCCCGTTCATGTAGAATCTCCCGTCGCCGTTCCGCAAGATCCTATAATGCCTGGCCAGGTTGCCATCGCGGACTGTCAAAGTCAGGAAATCAAATTTAAAAGAAAGCAAGGGAATGCTGTTATGGGGCAGGGGATTCAGGAACCCCCCCTCTCTTTGAAGATTTTTGGTCTCTTCCTGTTCCCGTAAGGAAGAGGGCATAAGACACTAGCTTGCATGGTGGAGAACAGCAAATGAGGTGATTTGCAGAATGTTGTTTGCTTTGAGCGGCGATAATGTTTGCAATGGGTGGAGCAAACAAAACGGGGTCCCAGGGATTAAGAGGTTAAAGGGGATCCAAGAATAAAAGAGGATTGTTTAGGAACTGAGCATATGGCAGCATTTAGCTGCCCTTGATTGATTGTAATTCAGACTGAGCCAGGCTGATATTTGGATGGGAGAGATCGTGAGGAGATCCTCCAAGGCATTGCTGCAAAATCAAAATGTGATCTTGGAGGTATTGAAAGAAAAATCTTCATCAGGGTCCAGTCCAAGCCGGGAATAAACAAAATGGAGACAGCTTTCGAAAGAAGGCTGTAGTTTATTAAAGAGCAGAACCACAACAGCATGTGGCTCTGGCAGAGCTGACCACATGTAGCTGGGAATGGTAGGTGTTTTATACCTTCTTGGGCTTTTGTGTTTGGAGTTGTTCCTGTGGCATGAACTTTGATCTGAGGTTCAGTGTGCCCTTTTAGTATTTTGATGGTAGTGGGTTAATCCTACTACATCTTAAAAGTCATATCCTACTTCCCTGGGGCTGTGGCTGATTGCTATGACCTGTGTTGGATTTTTGGGGTGTGGGGTTGCTGGTTCTAGGGATCTTTATCTTTCTAATCCCATCATCTCCGAGCTTCCTGGCTCCAGTCTTTTTGAAAGGATTATTACATTTGCATTTCTACAGATATGGCCTCTGCTTGGGGCAGAGAGACTTGGGGGGGGGGCGTTTCTTCCTTTTAAGATCTTCTCCATTATTCCTTTGGAGAAATATAATCTGCTTTTTTAATATACCCCAAAATGTTTTTTTCTGTAGGGGGGGTTGCTATCTTCCTACAGAGAAAAGGGATGACAAATCACTCCAACCCAAGAAAACAAGGGTGTGTGCATGAAGCCATCCTGGGCCTTTGTTTACCTTTGGGAAATTGGCAAGGAGATTATAGGAGATAGCTACGGAAAAATGTCACCATTTTTTTCTCAGTTGGAATTGATTTGAATTTGAATTAAGTAAGTAAGTAAGGAAGGAAGGAACATAAGCAGGATAAAAAGGGGCAAAGAAGAAATCAGAAGAGGAAAAAGAGGAAAGAAGGAATGAGAAGAGAAATTGAATTTGGAAGGAAGGAAGGAAGGAAGGAAGGAAGGAAGGAAGGAAGGAAGGAAGGAAGGAGGGAGGGAGGGAGGGAGGGAGAGAGGGAGGGAGGAAGGAACAGAAGCAGGATAAAAAGGGAGGGAGGGAGGAAAGAGGGAATAAGAGAAAAGGTAAAAAGAGGAATGAAGGAACGAAGGAAGGAATTGAATTGATTTAAATTTGAATGGAAAGAAGGAAGGAAGGAAGGAAGGAAGGAAAGAAGGAAGGAGGATAAAAAGGGAAGGGGGAGGAAAGAAGGAATGAGAAGAGAAAGGATAAAAAGAGGAATGAAGGAAGAAAGGAAGGAAGGAATTGAATTGATTTGAATTTGAATGGAAAGAAGGAAGGAAGGAAGGAAGGAAGGAAGGAAGGAAGGAAGGAAGGAAGGAAGGAAGGAAGGATGTATTTTAATGAAGTCTTTAGATCTGTGTTTGTCAACCTCAGCAACTTTAAGATGAGGGGATTTCAACGCCCAGAATTCTGGGAAGTGAAGTCCACACATCCTAAAGTTGCTAGGCTTGCCTTAGTTAAACTCTGACCGTGCCATGGGAAGCCCCACCCTCTTTTTACATGTACTAGTGTACAACGCACATGAAAAAGAGATGTGGGCTCAAAAAGAACATAGTTGAGGCCATTATCTTGACTCTTTTCATCCTGCAGCCCCACTTAAAAGTTTTGCAAATCCTGGCCCAAAGAGAAAACAGTCTTTTTTTTTTTTAATCCTTTCTTCTGATTTTCTCTCTCTTCTTAAGAGACGTTTTGGTAGGTGAACTGGAGCTCCCGTTTCAATTCTAAGCTGCTCCAGGAGTCACTCCAGGAAATCCTCAACTTATGACCACAATTAAGTGACTCACGGCTGATTTTACAAGCTTTTTTTGGCCACGGCGGCTGGGCGAATTGTTAAGTGACTCATGCGGTCATTAAGCAAATCTGGATTCCCCCTTCGACTTCACTTGTCGCAAGTCAGCTGGGATAGTCACAAATGGGGATCACGTGACCCCATGGCTTTGCAACCGTCATAAATACAGGCCAGTTGCCAAGTGACCATGGCGGGGGGCGGGGGGGAGGCTGCAATGATTGTAAATGAGAGGACTAGTTGTCATTTTCCCCAGTGCTGTTGTAACTTGGAATGGTCGCTAAACAAACAAGTTGTAAGCTGAGGACCCGCCTGTGATTCAGAAAAGAGCTCAAGAATCCAGTGCTTCTTTGCGGCACAAAGACTTACCTGAAAGTACGAAATCTGCTCCGATTTTCTCGCTGATACGAACCAGGAAAGCTCCAGAGTTATTCTCTTTGGACATCAGCCGAAGCACCGCTTCGGAACGGGAGATCTGCCCAAAAAACCATCTATAGGGGGACGGTAGAAGAAAAAAAAAGAAGAAATAGCCGGTTGTATCGGACCCACGTCCATCTACTCTAGCAATCTTTTTCTCAACTGGAAAAAAGGGGGCGGGGGTGTTGAGCACAGGCAGGAGATGATGGACCAGAGACCCCTGTATTCCTGATCCTCTTCCGTTTCTATGACACCGTTGCTGCGTCTGCAGTTTTCACCTGCATGCAGCTTGGCTGGCTAACTTGAGTCATCTGCAAGCCTGGTCTCTATGTGTGGCAGCGATGGATTTCCTAGCAGGGATTGGGAGGGAAAATTGGGGGAACTCGTGTGTTTGGGGAATGCTTCTTGGAAAATAGGCTGAATTGGAACCTTTGAAAAAATGTCCAGGGAAAGAGGTTGGTCGTCCTCAGGAACTGGAAGGAGATTCTCACGATGATGAGGGGGTGAAAGTCTGATGGTCTAATCTAGGGTTTCCCAGCCTTGGCTGCTTTAAAATGTCTGGACTTCAACTCCCAGAATTCCCCAGCCAGCCATGCTGGTTGGGGAATTCTGGGAGTTGAAGTCCAGATCTCTTAAAGGTGCTAAGGTTGAGAAGCTCTGCTCTAGCCTCTTTGGCTACCCCCTTCCCTATCAGTGATATCTGGACTTCAACTCCCAGAATCCCCCAGCCAGCCATGCTGGCTGGGGAATTCTGGGGGTTGAAGTCCAGACATCTTCAAGTTGTAAGATTGATAAACACTGCTCTAGCCTTTCTGGATGCCCCTGCTCCCTGTCAATGAGGTGTGGACTTCAACTCCCAGAATTCCCTAGTCCCCTCCATCTTAAAGTAGCTAAGATTGACAAACACTGCTCTAGCCTCTTCTGGGTGCCCCATTTCCCTGCCCCTTAGGACTCAAACAGTCTGAAAATACATCTGGATCTCAAGTTGTCCTTTCAGCCAATGTTTATTCACACAGAACTGCGCCAAGTCCCCAATAGCAAGAGCGATAGCAATAGCAATATCGCTTAGATCAGTGGTTCTCAACCTGTGGGTCGGGAACCCATTTGGGGTCGAACGACCATTTCACGGGGGTCGCCAAACAACGCAGTCCGCCATTTTTTCCCCCTTTTCTTTAGCTGTGCTACTCCCTTTTATTCTATTGGCTTTTGAAAGCCAATAGAATAGACTCTCTTGAATAGAGTCTAATTCTATTGGCTTTCAAAAGCCAATAGGAATTGTCCAGGCTGTCTCTGCCCTGCTGAGCCCGCCAAAAGTCCCATTCTGAAAATGGTGCTGCACCAGTTGAGTAGTCCTCGACTTACGACCGCTTGAGTAATCCTCGACTTACGACCGGTTGGGGGTCGCAGCATTAAAAAGGTTGAGAACCACTGGCTTAGAGTTATATACCGTCGCACAGTGCTTTATAGCATTCCCTGGGCAGTTTAGGTCAACATATTGACACCTCCCCCCCCCCAACAATCTGGGTCCTTATTTTACCAGCCTCGGAAGAACGGAAGGCTGAGTCAACCTTGAGCTGCTCAGGATCGAACTGCTGGCAGTGGGCAGAGTTTGCCGGCAATACTGCAGTTTAACCACTGTGCCACCAGGGTTCCCCAAACTTAGCCACCGGACCCACTGTGGATTTCCGCAGCAATGCTGCTGCTTTGATTTGCAACCTGCTAGTACTTACGGCTCCGTCTCTACCGTCTCTTTCTTGGCGAGATAGCTGTAGGGGACGTAGCCTTCTTCGTATCTTCCCTCCACAGTATCCACCTGCTTGGCCCAGCACCATTCCCCGGTCTTCTGAATCACCTGGAACAGGTCCCCTGCTTGAAAAGTCAACTCCGTTTCAGTCCGGGCTTGAAAATCCCACAAGCTGGTGTAAAGAGAGCATGCGGCTCCCGGCACTTGCTCTGTCTTGAAGGCCATGGCGAGCGCAGGATAGGAAACAGGGAACAATCACGGTTAATTTGTCTCCTTTCTGTCTCCCCAGCTGCAGGTCTTGTTCACACAGGCATGGTTCTGCAGTCCTTCTGGAATGCAGCAGAAGAATTTCCCGTAAACCAAGGGAGGCGTTCCCTGCAGCAGGTAAGCACTGCCAGCGCAATGGTGTGCAAACTGGAAAGGCAGAAAGGGTGGGAGGGAAGGGAGGAACGGGAAAATCCCCTTTCTGCCTTCTATTGCTAAATGAACTTCCATTATATATATATAGATAGATAGATAGATAGATAGATAGATAGATAGATAGATAGATATAGATAGATAGATAGATAGATAGATAGATATATAGATATATATAGATAGATAGATATATAGATATATATAGATATATAGATATATATATATTCGAAGCACGAAGCTGAAAACACCAGCCTGAAGATGACGAATGAGACTTCGTCGAAACGTCGCCAAGACACTTCCAGGAGAGTTGAAGTAAAAATACTTTACTAAAAATATATTAATACTAAAAAGTTGCCAAGCTTTCGCTGGGGGAACTCCCCAGCATCGTCAGGGCTAAAAGGCCATTGCAGTAAAGGTGGTTTAAGTAGGTTCAAGTAACGTTTGCGCACGGCTCTTAGACCGTGTTACTAGCTCTGATTGGCCAGCTGAAAGCCAAGATGTGTCTATAACGTTATGTTCTTTTCTTCGGATGCCCTTCCCTATCCCTCGTCTTTAGAGGCGTTAGTAACCTTACATCCCATCCTCTTCCGATAATACCAACGTCTGCCGTGGGGGGGGGAGGACTTGATCTGATGTTTTCTTGTGTTTTACAATGGGGATAGGGCTCCACTAACTGTGGGTTAATATCCCTTCCCAATTGTGTATCTCTCTCCTCCTTTGTCATGTTAACAGCTCCTATCCGGGTATGGTATGCCTCAACAATCAAGTCTTTATTCCCCACCTCAGTCTCCCGTTGTTTGGCACTCAAACCGCTCTCATTACTCCTCCCCTTGCTGATCGATACATTTCAACCGCTTTTAAAAGTTTTCTTTTTTAAAAAAAAATACAAAAGGTTTTCCAGTGCGGTGTGTAAGACGTTTATAAGTGGGCTATATACACAATAATTCAGAATAATAGAGTTGGAAGGGACCTTGGAGGTCATCTAGTCCAACCCGCTGCTCACGCAGGAGCACCATTTCAGACGAATGATGGTCCAATCTCTTTTTAAAAAGGTTTCAGTGATGGAGCACCGCAACTTCCGGAGGCAAACCATTCCACTGATTCATTGTTCTCACTGTCAGGAAATGTCTCAATAATTATAAAATAATATAATTATATGATTTATAGTTATAGTCTTAGGGAAACGAATTGCACTCTTCCCTAAATTGTGTTATGGTTTTTATTGCAATTCATGCTTGGGGTTGTTGTGATTTATTTTTCAGATTGTTATGCTGTTCTTTTAAAACTTAGTTTGTCCCCCAGACATACGTGCTGTACATGAGATGGACAGCTTTATAAATTGATAAGTAATTAAGTTAGTAATTACCAATAAATCAGTAATTTGTCAATAATAATAATAATAAAGTTGGAAGGGACCTTGGAGGTCATTGAGTCCAACCCCCTGCTCAGGCAGGAAACCCTATACCAGTGGTGGGGAACCTATGGCACGGGTGCCAGAAGCGGCACTCAGAGCCCTCTCTGTGGGCACGCGCGCTGTCGCCCCAGTCCTAGGCCTTCAGCTGGGTTTTATAAAACCTTTTCGCTTTAGGCCTCCGCCGCCATGTGCAAAAAAAAAAAGTTCAATCAGTCAATTTCAACTACTCACGGGAAAAAAAAGATCTTGCAGAGTTGGAATTGATTGATTGAACTTTTTAGTCCCACCCAGTCTGCTGTTACTACTGTAGCCACGCCCACCCAATGGGCCACACCCAGCCAATGGACCACACCCACCCGGCACTCGATGATGCATAAGTGGGTTTTGGGTTGCAGTTTGGGCACTCAGTCTCTAAAAGGTTCGCCATCACTGCCCTATACCATTTCAGACAAATGGCTGTCCAGTCTCTTCTTAAAAACTTCCAGTGTTGGAGCATTCACCGCTTCTGGAGGCAGGTCGTTCCACTGGTTAATTATTCTAACTGTCAGGAAGTTTCTCTTAATTCAGGTTGCTTCTCTCCTTGATTAGTTTCCATCTGTTGCTTCTTGTCTTGCCTTCAGGTGCTTTGGAGAATAGCTTGACTCCCTCTTCTTTGGGACAAGCCCCTGAGATATTGGAAGACTGCTATCATGTCCCCCCTCATTCTTCTCTTCATTAAATAAATCCATAATTTAAAAAAAAACTCCAAAATTAAAGGCAAACCAAACCAGAAAAATAAAAAGAACCAAACTAAAAAAAAAAAAATTAAAAATCCAAAATTGATAGTGTTAGAAATTGAAACTGAGAAATTTTAAAATATGTATTTGATTTTGCACATACACACACACCGAGCCCAGATCACACTTGGAAAAGCACTGGTCTAGCTGATCTTAAGGGTGCCCTCCAACTCCTAACTCTGTGCTTCACAGTTGTAAAGTTCTTTGCGTTTGGCTGAGATCCTCTTCTCCTTTCCAAGAGATTCAGAAAGCAAATTGTCTGGCATTAGCTGCAGTGGAATGTCTAAGTCAGATTAAAGGGTGGAGAACTGGTCCCTGGCACTCATAAAAAAAAATATATATCAGTTGATCTAAGTAAGTGAAAGTTCAACCTGGAATTAAATTCTCCCTGATTGAGAAAGTGATCTCATTCTTCCAGCCCCTCCCTGCTGAAAAGTCACCTGTTGTTTTTTTTTTATTTTTTTTTCATCAACATATGTTAATTTTTCCAATCAACAAGTTGTCTGGAGTTTGCTAAGCTAATACATGTTCAATTCCTAATCCTTCATTCTTTTCTCTAACCAAGAATAAAGTAAATTCCAAATTGGATAGTAGTCTGTATCTTCTTTGTCTTTCTTTTTTTTCCCCAATTTTTATTATTTTATTTTCATTACAATCATAAGAAAAAAAATTCAGATACATAAGAAGTTAAAATACAACACACAGATTTTGACATTGCTCACCCATTTCCCCCCAGACCGCATCCCCCTCTAATCTCTTCACTTCCCCCTTCCTTCTATCTTCTCCTCTCCTCTCCTCTCTCTCTCCTCCATCTTTCTACTTACTTGTCCCTCTCCTCTTCTTCTCAATCGGATGCGGTCTGCGGGGAAAATGCCCGAGCAATCCTCTATCATCAAAATCTGAACTATTGAACATACTACCCCTACTCTCCCCTCCCCCCTCCCCCCACCTCCTCCCCCCCCCCCAGACTTCCCAGAACTCAATACAGGGTTACAAAAAAAAGAAGAAAAGAAAAAAAAGAAAACTAAACATAGTCAACTTAAATTTACTACTTATACTACTTATACAATAACCGGAATCCTAATAACCCTTAACTCTCTGCAAACTTGAATTCACAATTTAATAAAAATCCATTATTCATAAAATAAATGAAACTTTGTTGCTCCATACTTCTTCTGAATATATTCTATCCATCTTCTCCATACAGAAACATATCTCTTTTGTGAATGATCCTTTAAGTAAGCAGAAATTTAAAATTTCTGTCTTTCAACCTCATAGTTAATCTGTCCATCTCTGCACATTCCAGTATTTTCCTGATTATTTCTTCCTCTGATGGCAGTCCTTCATTCTTCCAGTATTGTGCAAAAATTATTCTGGCTGCTGTGGTGATGTGTAAAATTAAATATAATTTCTACTTATTAGTCTAGGAAAAGACACCTGTTCTGGAGTGGGGGTGGAGAGACAAAGATCTCTTTGTGGGCTTGGCTGCAGGTGTCAAAATGGGAATAACGCAGGGAAATAAAGATTGAATTGAAAGATTCCTCTTTCACTGCAACCCACAGCCTGCCTTGTAAGCCTCAACATTTTCACTCCATTCTGCCGTCTGTCTTTGCAACCTCTGAAGGCATTTTGGGTAAATTTCAGCAAAAAAGCCCCTCTTTTTCTTCACTGTTATCTGGATCAGAGGTTCCCAGCCTCAGGAACTTTTAAGATGTGTGGACTTCAATTCCCAGAATTCTGGGAAATGCTGGTGGGGGGATTCTGGGAGTTGAAGTCCATACATCTTCCAGTGACTGACGATGAAAAACCTTGTTGTATGCTACAGAAGAATGCAATTATTAAAAAAGATGCTTGCACAGGAAAAGGCATCCTGGGCCCAGCCTTGACATGAGTTCAGCCTCAGATTGTTTATATATTATTAGATTTGTCACTGGCTGAGGAATTCTGGGAGTTGAAGTCCACAAGTTATAAAAGGGCCAAGTTTGAAGACCCCTGATGTAACCGAAACTTGCTAATTTCCCTGTGATGGCACCCAGGATGCATTGCATGGCAAAAAAATGTGAGTTTTCTTGGGATTTCCTGTTTTTACACCTTTTTACATTCCTGCTGTTTTCCAGATAAATTATTTCTTTCTCTTCCTCTTTCATAGAAACAAGGTCATTACAATATACAATATGGTAATCATATCTTCAATGGCTGTCATTATAGCACTTGGTGGTTTAATTAAAGCTTTTATTTTTTATTTTAGTAAGTTTGTTTGCTTTCCAGGATGAAATCCGATGTTTTTGAAAGAACCGCACAAAGGTAGATTTTATTTATATTATAAAGTAGCTTTCTCCTAGATTTATGGCAGTGTTGTGGCATGTTGGCAAGGAATAAGCTTTTGCAGTTTAATGAAATTTTGCTAGGCAGTTTTAAATTCAACCTCAAGAAAGAAAATTGATCATTGAAGCAAAATTATTGTTATGGTTGTCCAAGGCATTTTTGACACAGTAGTTGTGACCTCTTATTGCAAGAAAGAGCACAAATCTTTATTCAATTTAATATTGTATAAGGGTTTATAAATAAACTATATTTGCTGCCTTTATGGTGTGCATGCTGGCTTCATGAAGGGAGCTTTCTTGGGCCCCTGAAAACAGAATAATTTTCTGTTATCTTCTTAGAAATTATTTGAACTTTAACCTTGGAATTACCTAGTGGTCCCTTTTCCAAGTACTAACAGGGGCCACCTCTGCTTAGTCACATTATTTTCCCTTCCATGTTCAATCTTATCCAATTCTCGGAGACTGGACTAGAAGACCTCCAAGGTCCCTTCCAGCTCCTTATTCTAATTCTAATTCTATTCTTATTCTATTCTAATCCCCGTGGGGGTTTTGTTGGTTTTTTTTGCATGATTTCAGAAGCGGTTTGTTTGTCAATAGCCCAAGGCTATTCAGCAAGAATAGAACTCACGGTCCTTTTGAGTTTCTAAGGCTGGTGCCTTTAACTGCTGCCCCAAACGTAAGCCACAGTAGTGTTGCCCTCCTAAAAATTATGTGCAATTTAAGGGGAAACTATGACACCGGCGCTGCTATAGTTCGCTCCACGTTCTGTATTTATACAATACAGGACAGTGGTGGCGAGCCTAGGGCTCATGTGCCAGAGGCGGCATTCAGAGCCCTCTCTGTGGGCACGCTTGCCATGCCCTGGAAATAGCAACCGTCCCTCTTCAACCAGCCGCCCACTAACTGGCCGAGGCCCCACATGTGCCCCCTGGCCTCTGTGTGCAGGGGCCAATGGTGTCATGCAGCAGCCACCGAAGCCCCTACCTCATCTTGCCCTGTGACAATGGCACCCCCGCCCTGCCCACCACCCCACTTGCCAGAGACCCCCTGGATCTCCCCCAACCCTGCCCTTCCCACCATCCCACTTGCCAGAGACCCCCTGGATCTCCCCCAACCCTGCCCACCACCCCACTTGCCAGAGACCCCCTGGATCTCCCCCAACCCTGCCCTCACAGGTGTCCCTCCTCACGAGTAACATTGAGGTGATCACGCCCACCTTGGCTACACCCACCCAATCTGCCATGACCACAACCACGCCCACCCAGCACCTGGGTTTTGGGTTCCGGTCTCTAAAAGGTTCGCTATCACTGATACAGGAAACTCCACACCAGACAATTGCCCCTAAGATCGCGGTGCAACTTATGTTATGGCAGCAAGCCTCCTATAGGTGGCACCACGTTTTACACTCATACGAAACACATCTTTAATTACCCAAACAAGATAACGTAAATTCTATTTTTGGAACCATGTAAATGTAGCCCCACCGAAACAGGGCCTCAAAAAATTATTACAAAACTCATAAATGTTCCTCTCCACGGAAATCTTTAGTAAAAGGCGAAAGATTTATACGATCTGAAGAGAAACCAGAGTATGCTTTTTCTCCATTCGAGAGACCGATCCCTGCAGCGATGACTATCAATGGTCGTATGGCGACCATCCAGATAGACAGATAAATTATATTATAAGCAAATTAATATTTAAATAAATAACGAAGTAACGCTTGGATGTAAAAATATTGAATAAACCATTGCAGAAATGACGGCGAAATTTTTCCTTCTCACTGCGCAATGCATCATGGGTGCGGCCGAAGGGAAATTAGGTTTCTCGGGTCCGCCTCGACTGCAGGCGGTCGCTCCTAACCTGAGCGCGACTGGCGGGCGGGAGTCAGTTTTGCTCGCGCTTACGCCAATAATCATTTGGCTAATTTCAGCCAATCCGGAGAATACGATTCACTGCAGAAATAAACGATCTTTTTTGTTTTTGGTCGTATGTATTTATTTTTTAAGATTCAGGCACTCTCTAATAATGTGTAACTTGATACCTCCCCCAGCTTTTCGCACTTGGTATCTTCCAAATGTATTGGAACTGCAACTCCCAGGAATCCAAACGGTTCATTTTTTGACCAGGGAACTTTGGGAGATGTAGTCTCAACCCATTGGCAAAGCGCCGAGTTCAGGTTGAGGAGATCTGAACGAAGAGGAAACATTTTAGATTTTTCTTTCCCTCCTAGAAACAGCAAAACCTTTATAGTAGAAAGCTGTGACTTTCCAAAAATGTCTGCCTTTCCATGGATGCAAACTTAGGACAGGTTAGTGTTTATGAAGGAATAACCTTTTTACTGGTTTCCCTTCTCTCAGCTGTTTAGACCAGGGGTAGGCAACCTTGGCTCTTTTATGACTCATGGACTTCAACTCCCAGAATTCCTGAGCCAGCCATGCTGAGGGAAAAGGAAGAGGTTTCCAAGCTGAGCCATGCTGGCTCAGGAATTCTGGGAGTTGAAGTCCACCAGTCATAAAAGAGCCAAGGTTGCCTACCCCTGGCCTAGCCCACTGTTTCTCAGAGTTGGGTACTTTAAGAGGTGTGGACTTCAACTCCCAGAATTCCTGAGCCAACATGGCTCAGCTTGGAAACCTCCCTTTTCCCTCAGCGTGGCTGGCTCAGGAATTCTGGGAGTTGAAGTCCATAAGTCATAAAAGAGCCGAGGTTGCCTACTCCTGGTTTAGACTAATTGTCTGAAGCTTGTCATTTATGATTTATGTTCTGCTTTTGTCCAAGAGAAAAAATTATTTTGATCTTCGCCTCACATTCAATATCAATATTCCTTATCAAAGGGATCCTTTGAAGTAGGATAAGAGCTGTTAAACATGGGGATAACCTTGAGCAAATATGATTGGAAGATCATTAAAATTTGAAAACATTTTGGCTGATCTGAAAAAAATTAAGCAAGAATGGGAAGAAGGAGAAGGGAGGCAGGGAGGGAGGAAGGAAGGGAGGGAGGGAGGAATGGATGAAGGAAGGAAGGAAGGGGAAGGAGAGGGAAGGAGGAGAATGAAAGGAGGGAGGAAGGGGAAGGAGGAGAGGAAAGGGAGGGAGGGACGAAGGAAGGAAGATGGAAGGAAGGAAGGAAGGGGAAGGAGAGGGAAGGAGGAGAATGAAGGGAGGAAGGAAGGAAGGAGACAGAGAGAAGGGAGGGAGGGGGAGAAGGGAAGGAAGGAAGGAAGGAAGGAAGGAAGGAAGGAAGGAGCATGAGAGAGGGAGGGAAGGAAGAGATGGAAGGAAAGAAACTGGTTGAATGTAATCTAAAATTCATAGGTCAAAGCTCATTCGAGGTTGTCCTCAATTTACAACCCTTTGCTCAGTGACTGTTCAAAGTTACAGCCTACCTGAAAAAGGGGACTTATGACCCAGGTCCAAAGTTCCAACAGTCACCCCACCCACTCCTGTCACATGACTGCATTTTGGGCACATGGCGACATGGCCGCATTTGCAGCATCCCACGCTCACGTGGCTGACTTTATGACAGTTTTGCCGAAAACCGGCGCTTTGCTGAAAAACTGCACCCATAATGAACCATTGGTTCGCTTAACGACCACCACAAAACACCTCATGAAATTTTATGACTATTATGCCAGGCTCCATTATGGTCATACCCTGAGGATTACCTGTCCTTTTAGCCACAATGTATTGGAAAAGGGTAGAGGAGAAAAAAGGAGAGAAGGCAGAGGATGAGGAAGCACCTGAAGGCAGAACAAGAAGCAACGGATGGAAACTAACCAAAGAGAGAAGCAACCTAGAATATAAGGAGAAACTTCCTGACAGAACAATTAGCCAGTGGAACAACCTGCCTCCAGAAGCGGTGAATGGAAATCTTTAAGAAGAGACTGGACAGCCATTTGTCTGAAATGGTGTAGGCCACAGGTCGGAGCCGCATGCGGCTCTTTGAGCCTTCCCCTGCGGCTCCCAGCCTCCTCTGCCTTTGCAGAGAGAGACAGAGACAGAGAGAGGAATTGTGCTTCCCTGCTTCCCTCTCTCTCTCTCTCTCTCTCTCTCTCTCTCTCTCTCTCTCTCTCTGTGTGTGTGTGTGTGTGTGTGTGTGTGTGTGTGTGTTTGTGTGTGTGTGTGTGTGTGTGTATAAAAAAAAGAGAGTGCACTCACAGTGTTCTCCGAGGAGCTGAAAAGCTTACTGGGCGGAGCTCCCCCCTTTGCTGCATCTCTGCAGGAAGCAGGAAGGGCAGGAGAGAGCTAGCTAGCCCAGCTAGGCTGACTCAGGAATTCTGGGAGTTGAAGTCCATGAGTCATAAAAGAGACGAGGTTGCTTACCCCTGATCTTGTTGGACAACAGCCTGAAGCTTGTCAGGTGAGCAGCAGATAGGAGAGGGGGGAGAGAGGAGAGGAGAGAAAGAGAGAGAGGGAGAGAGAGAGAGAGAGAGGAAAGAGAGAGAGAGAAAGAAAGAGAGCGGGGGAAGAGGAGTGGCAGACCAAGGGCAGATAGAGAGGGAGAGAGAGAGAGAGAGAGATCCTTTTGACATCTAAAATGAAGATAACACTGCATATATCCTTTTTTTACCTGTGTGTGTGTGTATATATATATATATATACACATACATACATACATACATATACATATATATATACACACACACACATACATACAAACACACAAACACACACACACAAACACACACACACCTATAATAAAGGTAAAAAAGGATATATGCAGTGTTATCTTCATTTTAGATATCAAAATGGTTTTGCGGCTCCCAGTGTTTTGTTTTTGGTGGGAAACGGGTCCAAGTGGCTCTTTAAGTGTTTTGGGTTGCCTACCCCTGGTGTAGGCTTTCCTGCCTGATCAGGGCGTTGGACTAGATCAGGGGTAGGTAACCTTGGCTCTTTTATGACTTGTGGACTTCAACTCCTAGAATTCCTGAGCCAGCCATGCTGAGGGGAAAGGGAGAGGTTTCCATGCTGAGCCATAGTGGCTCAGGAATTCTGGGAGTTGAAGTCCACGAGTCATAAAAGAGCCAAGGTTGCCTACCCCTGGACTAGATGATTTCCAAGGTGTCTTCCAACTTTATTATTACTATTATTATTATTATTATTATTATTATTATTAAAAAGGACTTCTCTCTCTCTTATACAATTCTATGGCAATTCACCACGGCCAATTTGTCAACCTCACCACGGATGACTCTCTATGGTACAAGAGTTACACTAATATCAAAGAAATAGTGGAATAGAATCATTAAAGAAAGGATGCATTAAAGAAAGGAGGGACAAAATGAAACGTGAGTGACATAAGTTAAAACATTTTTTAAATGATTTTAAATAAATAAATTGAATTGCTGAATTGTCTCACAGCAAGTTGCCTTGTGAGTTGGCTGTGGCAAGTTGTCCCACACAGTTGAGTTGTCCCATTCCACCCTCAGACATAGAGACAAACATACTATAAAGCTAGGACTCTTTTTCCCCAGGGACTTTTTTTTCCACTGAGTGGGATTCCATTACTCTTCAACCCACTTTTGACCGATCAAATTGCACCTAATCGATGCACCAGGAATATGCACGGTGTAAGAAATCAGATCGACACATTTGTTCATGTTTATTGACTAAAGAAAGCCATCGGGTGCCTACAGCAAGAAGAGTCCATAATTTGCACGGGGGAAGGAAATGCTGCAGTTCTGTTTCTCTCCACGGTGACCTCTTGGCTGTAAAGTATCTCTTATCGTGAGCTATTTTCGGACAGGTAGAACCCATAACTCCACCTCCGCTCCACCTGCTGAGGTTGAAGAGCTCAAATAGTCCACCTTCAAAGGCACAAACGTTCCTGCAGGCTCAAGAGAATCTGAGCTGGAGGGTCTGCAGAACGTCTACTAGCCTGTTGAGCACGAAGGGCTGGCGGTTGGTGCAGAAGACACAGAAGGTGCCTCCCCTTCAGGAGATCGGGTGACGTGCCCATTTGTAAATCGAAAAGAGCGCATCTCGCAAGTTGAGAAAACTTGGCCGGTCTTCAGGGTGGGTTTTCCAGCATTCGAGCATGATGCTATAAATCTCAGGGGAGCAACTGTTGGGAAGAGGGAGACGGTAGCCCCGAGTAATCTGCTGGATGGTCTCTTGGTTGCTCATCCCTAGAAGAAGACAGACAGAGATAGTCAGGTTCACAAGGTCCAGAGAGATGGGACAGGTAATGGAGGACTCTCCTTAACACAAAGATAGGGGTTCCTCACCAATGTAAGGGTGACCAAACCCTTCTGGATGATCTCCCACACCCCAAATCTCTCAAAAGTGGCTGTGGGCTCCAATTTCTCATTTCTAGCTGGAGTGTTGGCTTAACCCCAACACTCCATGTTAGACCTTCTGAAATTGGAAACATAATAATAATAATAATAATAATAATAATAATAATAATAATAATAATAATAATAATAATAATAATGTAGTAAATAAATAAATAAATGCTCTGGGACTTCAAGATTCAAACAGACAAGCACCTGCAACATAACACCCCAGACTTAACAATTGTTGATAAGAAAGACAAAAAAGTCTGGATAGTGGACGTGGCAGTGCCTGGAGACAGCAGAATAGACGAGAAAGAACTGGAGAAGATAACAAAATACAAAGACCTACAAGTAGAAATAGAAAGACTGGCAAAAGCAAGCAAGGGTAGTACCAATAGTCATAGGCGCCTTGGGTGCAATCCCAAAACAACTGGAGCACCACTTGAACACCACTGGCATTGACAAATTCGCCATTAGTCAATTGCAAAAGGCAGCCTTACTAGGAACTGCTTCCATCCTGCGACGAGATCTGTGATACCATCAAACATCCACATCTGCCTATCCCAGGTCCTTGGGAAGGACTCGATAGGTAGACAAAAATGCCAAATCCAGTCTGAACATCTGGCTGATTGTGCGATGATCAATAATAATAATAGTAATAATATAATAAAGTTGGAAGAGATCTTGGAGGTCATCTAGTCCAACCCCCTGCTCAGGCAGGAAACCCTATACCATTTTGGACAAATATTTGAAATCTTATATTCTGTCTTACCTTCAAAAAATTGTTTGAACAAGCTTCTTGAATCTTAGCTACACAGTCTTCCTTTATATATATATTTTAAATCTCTACATATAGACAGCAGTTTTACATTATTATTATTTTTTGGTCTGCTTTAGACTAATTTTTAACAGGTGGGCATACAAAATTTAAGCCAATATTTTGCATCGATGTACACTGGACACACTTATTCTAGGCCCTTGCTTTTTAAGGAGCCTCAAAGATGTTATTCTTTTCCCATTCCTATTTAAGATCTATATGAAGAAAATAAAGTATGCCTGAGAATAAATGGGATATGTATTAAATGGTTCAACGTAGACTATATGGAGTAAGACAATTATAATAATTTGCTTGGATATTCTGAGAAAAGGAAAGATAATAATAATGATGATGATGATGATGATGATGATGATGATGATGATAATAATAATAATAATAATAATAATAAGCAACACATCAAGAAACTGCAGCTTTCTGCAATAACTCCAGCAATGTTACAAAAAACTGCGCTACTCGGAACATCTTATATTTTAAGGAGATACCTGGTTGACACCTAGGATGGTGGTAGCAACCTGTGTCAACCATCAGCGCCAGCCAATTTGAATGTTCAGTTGGCTGAGGTTCATGTTTAATGAATAAAAGTATAATAATAATAATAATAATAATAATAATAATAATAATAATAATAGTTGAAAGGAACCTTGGAAGTCATCTAGTCCAACCCCCTGCTCAGGCAGGAAACCCTATACCATTTCAAGCAAATGGCTGTCCAGTCTCTTCTTAAAAACTTCCAGTGTTGGAGCATTCACTGCTTCTAGAGGCAGGTTGTTCCACTGGTTAATTGTTCTCACTGTCAGGAAGTTTTTCCTCAGTTCTAGATTGCTTCTCTCTTTGGTTAGTTTCCATCCATTGCTTCTTGTCCTGCCTTCTGGTGCTTTGGGGAATAGCTTGACTCCCTCTTCTTTGGGGCAGTCCCTGAGAGATTGGAAGACTGCTATCATGTCCCCCCTCGTCCTTCTCTTCGTTACACTAGACATACCCAATTCCAGCAACCGTTCCTTATATGTTTTAGCCTCCAGTCCCCTAATCATCTTTGTTGCTCTTCTCTGTACTCTTTCTAGAGTCTCAACATCTTTTTTACATCATGGTGACCAAAACTGGATGCAGTATTCCAAGTGTGGCCTTACCATGGTCAGGCCTGGGCCAGGAAATGGGGATAGGATGGAGAACCAACACATCTCCAGTACAATTGGCCATATTACAAAGTGTGTGTGTCTTATGAGGGAGAGAAAGATGGGGGGGGGGAGAGAGATGCCCCCTGCCCTCCCAAGAGCATTCCTTCATCATGATCATTACCTACCATCATAGGGGCATTGTCCGTAGCTAAAAACCTCGTAGAGCAGGATCCCGTAGGACCACACATCCGATTTGGGGGAGTAGGTCTGGTAGATGGCTGCTTCCGGTGCTGTCCATTTCACTGGGATCATGGCATTACTGGTGGTGGAGTAAATGTCATCCTAGAAAGAAAACCAAGAACAGGTCCTCAGCCAAAAGCAAGGAAGGTGCTTTCACCTGGAGATTCAAGAAAGAGAAGCTAAAACTGACTTGTTCAGAGCAGAATACAGAATAACAGAGTTGGGGGGTCTTGTAGTCCAACTCCTTGTTCAAGCAGAGACCTTATACCAGTGATGGCAAACCTTTTAGAGACTGAGTGCCCAAAAACTGGCCCCGCCCCCACTCCACCCTCCTGCCCCCCGCTCTGCCCTCCATTCCCCGCCCCCTCTGCCCACAGGACCACTCACCGCCTCCAGGGCCCGCCGCAGATCGCCCAGGCAGCCCAGCAGCGCTATGGCGGCCACACCCTCTGCCCATGCCCTGCAGAATCAACTGCATGATGGGGGATGAGGGCAGAGTCTTGTCTACGCTGCCTGGCTGCCCTGTCCTTGGCTGAGCTGCTCTGTGTGGGCCACGCTCGAAGGCAACTCTCCTTCAGGGGGGCTGCTGGAGAGGAGGGGGTTGTGGGGGGAGGCAAGGCTGGGGCAACGGCACGTGTGCCCACAGAGAGGGCTCCGAGTGCCGCCTCTGGCACCCGTGCCATAGGTTCGCCACCACTGCCTTATACCATTCTGGATAAATGGCTGTCCAGTCGTTTCTTGAAAACTTCCAGTGATGAAGCACCCACAACCTCTGGAGGCAAGTCGTTCCAATGATTATGTCAACGTTGCTAACATCGGATGTTCTTGCTTTGACAATGTATGGAGATGCAGCCTTTTTCTTTCTTATGCTTTACTCTTAGAATTAGATGATACTGGGGGAGGAGGAGGAATGTGATGGGAGTTAGACATAACAATATTGCAATAGTGTCTGAACTCAGGGCTTTTGAAATAAGAGATGATAAGAAATGGCTGGGCTGGAGAACAGGAGGGAAAGCCTGCATTTCAAACTAATTGGAGAATGTGATTTATGACTGTTAATTAGAGGAGGGAATTGTGTTTGACACTATGTGCTCAGGGGAGGGGAATCCAGATTTTGGCTTCGCTTATGTATGTGCGGATGCTATGCTGCTCAAATAAAGATTCTTTAAGATAAACAATGCCTCAAAGTTCTTTGAAGAGTTTCATCTATCGGAACCATGAGAATCAGAGTAATTTATTTTCAGAAGGAATCCTTCCCAGCATTCCACATTTAAGCAAATCACAACAGTTGCTTAGTGAATTATGTTAAGTAAATCCAGTTTGCCCCCCATCAATTTTGCTGGCTGTGAAGATAGTCGCAGGCATGCCAAGAGGATGGCTGGTATGTCGGCTTTTAAGAGGGCTCTTTCAGACATTTATGTTTTTGGAGTCAACAAAAGGAACATAAATGTTGGATGGACATCTGGGATCTGTCCCGCTTTTTGGAGAAAGTGCAGAGAAGAGCAACTATGATGATTAAGCGCTTGGAGACTAAAACATATGAGGAACGGCTGCAGGAACTGGCTATGGCTAGTCTAGAGAAAAGAAGAAATTAGGGGGGATGGGGACATAACAGCAGTATTCCAATATTTGACAGGCTACCACAAAGAGGAGTGGTGGTGGTGAGGTTCAACTTATTTTCCAAAGCACTTGTAGGGAAGACAAGAAACAACGGATGGAAATTAATCAAGGTGGGAATCAACCTAGAAATAAGGAGAAATTTCTTGAAGTGAGAACAATCAATCAGTGGAACGGCTTCCCTCCAGAAATTGTGGGTGCTCCATCACTGGAGGTTTTTAAGAAGAGCCTGGACAGCCACTTGTCTGAGATGGTGTAGGGCAGGGGTAGGCAACCTTGGCTCTTTTATGACTCGTGGACTTCAACTCCCAGAATTCCTGAGCCAGCATGGCTCAGCTTGGAAACCTCTCCCTTTTCCCTCAGCATGGCTGCCTCAGGAATTCTGGGAGTTGAAGTCCACGAATCATAAAAGAGTCAAGGTTGCCTACGCCTGATGTAGGGTCTCCTGCTTGAGAAGGGGTTGGACTAGAAGACTCCAGAGTCCCGTCCAGCTCTATTCTTATTGGACTTAGCTGTAGGGAGGGTGTTAAAGCTTCCTTGGACGCACCTTGAGGAGCCTGGCAAGGCCGAAGTCAGCTATTTTGCAAGCCAGGTCATCGCCCACCAGGATGTTCCTTGCTGCGAGATCTCTATGGACGATACGTTGTTCCTCCAGATAGGTCATCCCATCAGCCACCTGGCAAGAGATGCTGAGGAGGTGGTGTGTGGTCAATTCCTTTCCCCCAGCACCTGAAAAATCAACAAGGCACAGTGGTGGCTAGAACGTGGTATTGCAGGCTGACTCTGCCCACCGCCAGCAGTTCGATCCTAACCAGCTTCAAGTTAACTCAGCCTTCCATCCTTCTGAGGTTGATAAAATGAAGAGCCGGATTCAGTGGTGGGATTCAGCCAGTTCGCACCACTTCGGCAGAACCGGTAGCTGATTTTTTGTTGCCCAGGCCCAGAACGGACTTCTGGAAGCGGCATCCATGCAGAGAGCCGGTTGTCCACATATTTGAATCCCACTACTGGCCGGATTGTGGGGGGCAACAGGTGGACTCTAAACCTCTCCCGTGAAGTGGTATATAAGTCTAAGTGCTATTGTTATTAACCTTTGATCCTTTGCTGAAATGCGTTTATGTACTTACAGGTAATCCTCTATTTACAACCATTCGTTTAGCAACCATCCAAAGTTACAACGGCACTGAAAAAAAGTGACTTGCAACCAGTCCTCGCATTTATGACCATCACACCATTCCCCACAGTCACGTGATCAAAATTCAGGCTCTTGGGCCACCGGGATGCATTTATGACGCTCGCGTGACCCCAGTTGCCGCATCGTCGGGTCACATGATTGTCATTTTGCGACTTCCCATCTGGCTTCCCAACAAGCAAAGTCGATGGGGAAATTCACTTAATGACCGCCTGATTCCCTTAACAACAACTGCAGTGATTCACTTACAAAGTTAGCAAAGGAAAGGTTGTAAAATCGGCTGCCATTGGCTTAATAACTGCCCTGTTTAGCAATGGAAATTCTGGTCCCAGAATTTCAGATAGTCCTCAACTTACAGCTCCTCATTTACTGATCGTCTGAAGTTACAGTGGCACTGAAAAAGTGACATATGACTGAGGCTGGCTGAGGAATTCTGGGAGTTGAAGTCCACAAGTCTTAAAGTTGCCAAGTTTGAAGACCTTTGCACCAACCCCATGGTTAATGGGGAAGCCAAATTCTCTTAACGACCGTGTTCCTAACTTAACAACTGCAGGGATCCACTTAACAACTGTGGCCAGAAAAGTCGTAAAATGGGGCAAAACTCCACAACACCAGACATTTGGAGCTCAGTTGTGGGCATAAGTCAACGACTATGCTTCTCTGTGTGCAAGAGAGGGCAGTGTTGTGTCAGAAATTAGATAAAAGAAATAAAAAAACCAGAGAATGTGCTGGTATGTTTTGAGACTCTTTTACAACACTACTGTGGACCAAAGTTTGGGGGAATTCTCTAGCACCCATGCTTAAGCCCAATCCAATTCTTTCTAGATAATTTTACCTCAGAATATTACCTGACGCAAACTTAAACCCACGAGTCTTACTTCTGGATTAGCAGCTTAATTTTGAAGTAAAACCTTAACTGCCCACTTCTAAGCTTCTTTCCACACATTTTGGCAGTTGGGTGGCATTTGCTTTCCTTATTCCTAATTCTCAGAGGATTAACCCCTGGATTTGACTGGCACATCCCACAAAGGATTGGATTCCCTCAGAGTGGGAATTTTGACTGCCAGCCCTCAAAAGAAAACCAGTTTGATGGTGGTTCCATCTCTGTGCATGGAAAGGCTGAGCCTTAGGAGGAAAATGAGATCAGATTACAATCTGTAAACACAATGCACCACCGTGTGAAGCTATCCTGCTCTGGGATGACGCAAGAAAGAAACTCATTAGCAGACAAAAGAGTGTTTAGACACTTGGAGACCGAGAATGTTGGCTCCAGACTCGTTCTTCTAGGGAGTTGCCCCATCTGAGGTAACAAACCAGATCTGGAAAGGAGGTCAAGTCCTTCAACACAGGAAACTTCTCATGGGAAGCAGCCAAACTGGCTTCTTTGGACAAAAGGTTTCTCCGCCGAGGAGAATCTCCATAGAAAAGGGTTGCATGTTGGGCATGGCGAAACGGCATTGGGAATACGTCAGCTTTGGCTGAAATTGGAACTGCCTCAGATGGCAGCTGAACCAAAGGAAGCTGCCCAACTGCCCAGTGGAGATGAAATTTGGGAAAGTAATAGAGAGCAATTTTCCCAGGGGGATTTATAAATTGTGTCTGAGGAGGAACTAGTTCTTCGGTGATTTTGCAACTAGTGGTATAGTCCTTAGCAAATCATGCAAGGCCTCTCTCTCTCTCTCTCTCTCTCTCTCTCTCTCTCTCTCTCTTTCTCTTTGTCTCTCTTTCTTTCTTTCTTTCTTTCTTTCTTTTTCTTTCTCTCTCTTTCTCTTTGTCTCTTTTTCTTTCTTTCTTTCTCTCTCTCTCTTTGTCTCTTTTTCTTTCTTTCTCTTTCTTTCTTTCTCTTCTCTCTCTCTCTCAGCAGAAGACTATTACAGATAGTCTTCAAGTTGCAACAGTTCATTTAGTGACCATTCAAAGTTACTATGGCACTAAAAAAAGTGACTTATGACCCCTTTTCACATTTACAACTGCTGCATCCCCGGGGTCACATGATCGAAATTCAGATGCTTGGCAACTGGTTCATATTTATGACAGTTGTGGTGTCTCTGGAGTCACACAATCCCCTTTTGCGACCTCCTGACAAGCAAAGTCAATGGGGAAGCCAGATTTACTTAACAGCCATGTTCCTGACTTAACAACTTCAGTGAGTCACTTAACAACGGTGGCCAGAAAGGTTGTAAAATGGAGCAAAGCTCACTTAACAACCGTCTTGCTTACCCAAGAGAAATTTTTGGTTCAGCTGTGGACGTAAGGTGAGGACTACTTGTAAGGATGTGTGTGTGTATGAACGGCACCCATGAGGTGGAGTCATAAAGACCAAGGGGGTAACCACAGCCACAAGATGGAAGCCCCACAATGTTACGTGACTTAAACAACCATTCATTTAGTGGCTGAATTTTGGACTCAGTTGTGGTCATAAGTGGAGGACGACCTATAGTCCAAATGTCAGAAGAATGTACATTATGCTGGATTTTAGTCATTTGTCATGACCACCATTTTGACATTGGACTGGCTCACCACAGTTCTGCAGAAAGATTGGGTCTGGACCCTCAGATCAATACTCACTGTTGAGGTAACTATGGAGATTGCCCTTCCGCATCAACTCTGTGACGATATAAACTGGCTCCCCCATCGAACAGACCGCCAGAAGTTTAATGAGCCTTGTGTGTTTCAGACTTTTCAAGTTCCGGATCTCCTTGACAAAGTCGTCCCTCATATCAGCTGTGAAGGAGATGAAAGACATTTGCAGGATGGATTGCTTGCGCAGACAACGTCTGGACTTGTTCTCTCATTCCAGCACATCTGGAAGCCCTAGGTCAGGGGTTGGAGAACCTTGGCTCTTTTATGACTTGTGGACTTCAACCCCCATGCTGGCTCAGGAATTCTGGGAGTTGAAGTCCACAAGTCATAAAAGAGCCAAGGTTCCCCATCCCTGCCCTAGGTCATGTTTTCTCCACCTCGGGCATTTCTAGGACAGTGGACTTCAACTCCCAGAATTCCACAGCCAGCAGGATCATTGATGAGAACTCTGGGAGTTGAAGTCCACTTACCTGGAAATGCCCAAGGCTGGGAAACAGAATTACAGAGTTGGAAGAGACCTTGGAGGTCATCGAGTCCAACCCTGCTCAAATTCTATAATATTTCAGAAAAATGGTTGTCTAATCTCTTCTTAAAAAACTCCAGTGTTGGAGCATTCACAGCTTCTGGAGGCAAGTCATTCCACTGATTGTTCCCACTGTCAGGAAATTTCTCCTTAGTTCTAGGTTGCTTCTCTCCTTGATTAGTTTCCATCTGTTGCTTCTTGTCCTGCCTTCTGGTGCTTTGGAGAATAGCTTGACTCCCTCTTCTTTGGGGCAGCCCCTTAGATATTGAAACACTACTCTCATGTCACTCCCAGTCCTTCTTTTCATTAAACTCGACCAGGGGTAGGCAACCTTGGCTCTTTTATGACTCGTGGACTTCAACTTCCAGAATTCCTGAGCCAGCATGGCTCAGCATGGAAACCTTTTCCTCTGCCCTCAGCATGGCTGGCTCAGGAATTCTGGGAATTGAAGTCCACGAGTCACAAAAGAGCCAAGGTTGCCTACCCCGAATTAGACATACTGAGTTCCTGCATCCATTCTTCATACGTTTTAGCTCCAACCCCCTGATCATCTTTGTTGCTCTTCTCCACACTCTTTCTAGAATCTCAACAGCTTTTTTATACTGTGGTGACCAAAACTGGATGCAAATGTGGTCTTACCAAGGCATTATCAAGTGATACTAACACTTCCTGTTATCTTGATTCTATCCCTGTATAAACATGGCTCTAGATGTTTTCTCCAAGCACTCTTCAGGATTAAAGAAGAGAAGTTTGGGTTCAGACATGGCTGAGACTCCTGTCTTATCATCTTGCAACTTGGGGTGAAGAGCCTGTGTGATGGGGGCATCTTGTAAATTTAGACTTTTGAAGGCTTTGCTGATCTGCAAGTCCACCTTGCTAAACTTTCCTGGACAGTTATATTGACCACAGAGATGAATAACACAATGTTCTAGTATTGCTACCACGATGATCGTAAATGTAATTAGGCTGCTCAGTCATCATTAATATCCTTTCCAAACCTCTTCAAATTTACAGGCAGAAAAACTGGATGGATAATTCTACTAATTTCTCCAAGGGGGGGGGGGAGAGGGCGGAATAAGTACTGTAGATTCGCCTACAGTTTCTCAAGCCATGGATTCCTGAATTGGCAGGCCTTGCTCACAGGCATTCATCCGCTAGTTACCTCCAGATTGACTACTGCAATGCACTCTGCATAGGGCTGCCCTTGAAGAGTATCTGGAAGCCTCAGCTGATACAGCATGCAAGAGAGCAGGCAACTAGGTGCATTCCTAGAACACATTCCTGGAATTCCTAGCTTGGAGCTGCTCCCCAACCTCCCTCAGTTGTCACTTTGCTTCTAGGTCCAATTCAATTTTAAAAATATCTGTGGTTTTTTTTTAATTATTATTACATGGGATTTTACCTGTTTGTGGTGCACTTCCCAGAGTTGCCTCGGGTTATAGCGGTGGCTGCATAAATTTGACTAATAAATACAATAAATGATTAAGTTCCCAGGGAGTGGTGATTTTACAAACTGATCCGGAGAAAGCCCCAGTTATCTTCCATTGGCATTTTAACTGAAGGCTGGGGAGCAAGGTAGAAAACTTTTGAGGTAAAATTAGAACGTTTGCTAGAAGCACTAAATAAAAGGATGTTCTGTCTAGGAAGATTTCTCCAAACCTGGTTTGTTTTTTGAAAAAACAAAAAAACAAAACTCCTAGGATCATAAAATCATAGGACTGGAAGGGACCTTGGAGGTCCTCTAGTCTAGTCCAACCACCTGCTCAAGATAGGAGTCCTTATGCTAATCTAATCTAATCTAATCTAATCTAATCTAATCTAATCTAACCTAATCTTTATTCCAATGGACATTTTCTTTCATCAGATTGAACAAGAACTGGAAGAAGTTTCTGTCCAGTTTGGTTAATTCATGCTGGACTTGGAACATGGCTTTGCAGGATCCAGAAATCTGCAAACTGACTAGGTGCAGAATATCACCGAATATCAGAGTAACGTAGGACTTTTCAAATAAAAAAATGTTTTTAGCATTAACCTGAACTTTGCTCCCTTCCACGTGTCTTTTCTTTTGTGAGGATAGAATAACCCAAGAGATCAACTGACCTAGTTTATTAATAACCATTTGGATTAATTTCTATGGAACAACTGTTATTATTACTCCATTACTTCTTATAACAGCAGTGTCCTTAGGGAGGTGCAAGACAATTAAAGGTCAACAATTGTGCCAGAATTTTGTGATGCCAATCCTGTGACTATGTGCTTGCAACAGGCACCGGGACACAAGGATATTAGGGTGGTGTTTGCATTGTGGTATTGCAGTGCTTGTTCTATTGTTCTCCTACTATCATGGCTTATCATTTCTCCATCTATTTTCCAGCTGGGGGAAGACATTCTCATTTCCTTGTTCAGCTGGTGGATTCACACTCGGACCCCATTGTTCACCTCTGGTCTACTCATGGAGGATTGACTAATCCACCTCTTAAGAAACAGGCAGACAAGACATTGCGCAAGAGAGGATAAGTTCTGCACTCTACAAACCTTGTTTCATAATTTTGATGGCCACAGGCACTGTGTTCTTCCACATTCCTTCCCAAACTTCTCCAAAACATCCTTCGCCCATCTTCCTCCAGAGCTGGAATTCAGACCGGGGACGTTCCCACTGATCCATCTCCGAAGACTTCTGTAGAAGGGGTAAGATTAGAGAGAAACAATCCAGATAACAGAATAACAGAGTTGGAAGGGGGAACTTAGAGATCTTCTACTCCAACCCTCTGCTCAAGTAGGAAACTCTATATCATTTCAGATAAAGGGTTGTCCAATCTCCTCTTAAAAATCTCCAGTGTTGGAGGCAAGTGTGTTCCACGGATTAATTGTTCTAACTGTCTGGAAATTTCTGCTTAATTCCAGGTTAGTTCTCTCCTTGATTAGTTTCCATCCGTTGCTTCTTGTCCTGCCTTCTGGTGCTTTGGAAAATAGGTTGACCCCCTCTTCCTTGTAGCAGCCCCTCAGATATTGGAACACTGCTATCATGATACCCTTAGTCTCCCTTTTCATTAAACTGGATATACCCAATTCCTGCAACTGTTCTTCATATGTTTTAGCCTCCAGACCCCTACTTATCTCTGTTGCTTTTCTCTGTACTCTTTTTAGAGTCTCAACATTTTTTTTATTTTGTGGTGACCAAAACAGGCCAGGCCTGGGTAGAGGAAGGATTAAAGAAATCTTGAACAAGAAGGTTGCAGGACCACTGAGATCATTAACTCCAATTAAGTATTGTTTTATTTTTCCAGTCTAGTCTGCAAACCTTGGAATGTCCTAGTAGTGGAGAGCTTCTGGCCTTTTAAGGAATAACCATCAACAGTCAAGGAAGAAGGGAACAAGAAATAAGCTGCAGATTAGCACTTGGAAGAGCAGCCGTGAAGGCCTTGGAAAAGATATTCAGATGTGTTGGGTCTATAGCTGTAAATATCAAAACCGTGGAAGCCATGCTGTTCCTTGTGGAAATTAAAGTTGGACTGTGAAGAAGCAGCAGAGTATTGACACTTTTGAACTTTGGAGAAGACTCTTGAGAATATTGTGGACAATCAAGAAGCTTGGTATCCTTGGAGATTCTCAGTCATCCAGGTCATGACTGTCCCAAAAGTGCCTTTTCCAAAGTCCACATTTTGGACAGAGAGGACCGCTGGTTTGAAAGCGGGGTCAAAGAGGGCATCCATGTCAAAACTGAACAGCCCTCTCTCAACAGAGAGGGAGGGATACAACATCAACTATCTCCAGTCTGCAACACAGTCCTTTCAGTGGTTCCAAGAAGGCTCCACAGTCATCTGGACTCCTCAGGTGACCCTGAGGACACAGACAAATCTCCAGGTGGCCTCAGCGACTCTCTTTAAAGAATGCAACTGACCAGCTGTCTGCAAAGAGTATAAATCCTTCCATTCCTCACCATCCAGGCACAGCTGAAGAGGCTTCTTGGATGAGAAGCGAAACATCTTCAAAGAAAAACAAGAAAGTCCAGTTGCCTCCTGAAAAAGCACCCTTGGGACAAGGAGCTTGGTGCCTTAAACACTAGACCAGGGGTAGGCAACCTTGGCTCTTTTATGACTCATGGACCTCCACTCCCAGAATTCCTGAGCCATCCATGCTGAGGGGAAAGGGAGAGGTTTCTAAGCTGAGCCATGCTGGCTCAGGAATTCTGGGAGTTGAAGTCCACGAGTCATAAAAGAGCCAAGGTTGCCTACCCCTGCACTAGATAGAATAGGGCTCTTCAAACCTGGCCCTTTTATGAGCCAGCATGGGGGAACTATGGCCCCCTCATGACTCGTGGACTTCAACTCCCAGAATTCCTGAGCCAGCATGGCTCAGCTTGGAAGCCTCTCCCTTTCCCCTCAGCATGGCTGGCTCAGGAATTCTGGGAGTTGAAGTCCACGAGTCATAAAAGAGCCAAGGTTGCCTACCCCTGCACTAGACCAAAGGAGACTGCATTTCAACTTGACTCCATCATAAATTGCTTTTGAACCTCCCATCAGTCAGCTTCTACTCATGGTGCAAGGAAAACCTTTGTGGTCCTGTGGAACATGTTCTTCAAATTCTGCCCATTGATAATAAGACACAGGCCTTCCTCGACGTACAAGAGTTCCTCCTCCAAGTCTCCGAGGCCTAGAACGGACTTTTGGAAGTGGCATCCACACACTTCCGGCAGACACTTCTAGGCCTGGGAGGTCTCCTCCAGGTCTCCGAAGCCTAGAATGGACTTCCAAAAGCAGTGTGCATTCAATCGGTTCTCCGAACTCAACAAAATTTAGCTACCAGTTCTGCCGAACCAATGTGAACCGGCTGAATCCCACCACTGCATTTCGGACAAGTGGCTGCCAATCTCTTCTTTAAAACCTCCAGTGATGAAGCACCCACAACGTCTGAAGGCAAAATGCTCCACTGGTTGATTGTCCTCACTGTTAGGCAGTTTCTCCTGAATTCCAAGTTGCTTCTCTCCTTAATCAGTTTTCATCCCTTGTTTCTTCTCCTACCCTCTGGTGCTTTGGAAAATAAGTTGACCCCCCCCTCTTCTTTGTGACAACTTCTCAAATACTGGAATACTGCTATCATGTCCCCCCTGGCCCTTTTTTTCTCTAGACTAGCCAAACCCAAATCCTGCAGCCGTTCTTCATATGTTTTTGTCTCCAGTCCTTTAATCATCTTAGTTGCTCTTCTCTGCACTTTTTCCAAAGTCTCAACATCTTTTTTTGTAATGTGGTGACCAAAGCTGGATGCAATATTCCTGGTGTGGCCTTACTAAGGATTTATAAAGCGGTACTAACGCTTCACGTGATTTTGCTTCTATGCCTCTGTTTATACAACCAAGGATTGTATTAGCTTTTTTGGCTGCTGCAGCACACCGGTAAGATTGAGCTATAAATAGTTTACATGAATGAAGGTATGTTCCAGCATGGATCAAATCTGTGACACATTCTGGAGAGAGAGAATTCCATGAGAATGGGCTCCAGCATGAGCCCAAATACTTGGAAGAATAAACTTTTGGTTCCAGTGACCGACTCAGATTTATCCTGTAAATAGTTTCCTATGGAGGGGGCGACTAAAATTAACTGCTTGACTTTTGAGAAAAAAAGAACATTCCCCCCCCCCAAAAAAAACCTGAAGCAGATCCAAAGGCAAAGCAAAAACAAACACTCCCACACACCCCAATAAAAGCCGCACACCCAGCTCCTGGAAGTTTGTCAGGGATGGGGAAAATCACACGGTGGTGACATGTTCTTCCACTCACCTTCTGGACGCAGGGCTGAGATAAGGGGCACTCAATGATATTCCAGTTGGCTTTGTAATAAGCAAGGAGCTCTTCCAGACTCGAGAAAACATGAGCTTTTTCCAAGTAAAAACTTCCGGCGGGATTCAAGAAGATTCTAAAATGTCGTACTTTTCCTCGGTTGCGAACTGAAGATTGAAGGAAAAGAGAACACGATAGAATTTGCATCAACTTTGCAATTTCCCTTTCTATAGTTTAGTAGGCACCAGCGTTGCTTGTCCCTCAGCTCTATGGTTCATTTTTATTTTGTTATTTTATTTTAATTATTTTATTTTATTATTATTTATTTTATTTTATTATTTTATATTATATTATTTTATTTATATCCCACTTTTATTATTTTTACCAATAACTCAAGGCGGCGAATATATCTAATAGTCCTTTCTCCTCCTATTTTCCTCACAACAACAACACTGTGATATCAAAAGTAGTTTGCATCACAGGTAGTCCTGGGGCATAAGACCATTCATTTAACCATGGTTCATTCACGACAGCCTTGCAAAAAGTAACTTAATCCTTGCAGTTGCAACCATCACATCACCCCGTGTGGTCATATCATCACAATTTGGGCACTTGGCAACCGGCTCACATTTACAACTGGTTGCAGCATCCTGCAGCCATGTGATTAGGACCACATGATTTATTTAATGACCAACATACATCTTCTCATCCAACCCCCTGCCTCCTGGGAATATCGTTCCGGACAAATAGTTGTCTAGTCTGTTCTTAAAAACTTCCAGTGTTGGAGCGTTCATAGCGTCTGGAGGCAAGTAGTTCCACTGATTAAGTGTTCTGACTGACAGGAAATTTCTCTCTACTTCTAGGTTGAGTCTCTCTTTGATAAGTTTCCACTCCTTACTTCTTGCCCTGCCCTTGGTACTGCTGACTCCCTCTTTTCTGTGAGAGTCTCTCAAGATTCTGCTGAGATGGTGAATCCAGAACCAACTCCAGAATTTTATTTTTCCTGTCTGGTAGTATCATCACTTATTGTACTGTGGGAACTCAGCCCCCCAGAGAAGGAAATATTAAAAGGGCAGGAAAATATATTTCCTCAAAGAATCTTAAAGAGGCAGAAAAGCATGCCCAGTTATCCTTGATAGCCCCAGGTCTCTCTCCCACAAGCAGAAGCCAGCGCTGTACAGATGCAGATGTAAACCATCAGGAAGGTTGAAGCTAGGAGATTAAGAAGATAAAGACATCTAAAATCTGCATACCTCACCCAAACTCTAGGAGTCATTAGCCCCAGCACCGGGGAAGCAGGATATGGCCTTTGGGACATAATAGGATTAACCCATCACCATCAGAATACCAGAAAAGCACACTCAGACTCAGGTCAAAGTTCATGCCACAGGAACAGGAAACAACTCAAAACAAAAGGCTCCAGAGGGTAAAAAAACCCACTCCCTACATGTGCTCAGCCCCTTTTCTCTCCTCTTTCCTGCCAGAGCCATCTTTCTGTCTGGCTCTTCAATAAACTGCAACCTTCTTTCTAAAGCAGTTTCCATGTTGTTTATCCCCAGCTTGGACTGAACCACGATGAAGACTTTTCTTCCAACAGTACCTATCATGTAGATAAGACTTGCTGACATCTGGAATTATTTTGCTTGTATTTGAGCGAAGTGCCTGCAACTTACATCCATTATTTCTGGTTTCTATGACCAGGAAAAAAATAATTCCTGACCATCTTCCTTATGGCACCTTTCTACGTATCTCAGTACTGATATCATGTCTTTAATGGGTGTTCATTTCTCTAGACTGACCCTACCAAGTTCTTTCAGCCTGTCCTCATAAGAAGTCTCCAAGTCATATTTATCTTCTGAACAATCTGTCAATTTCCAGGAAATATGCCCAGAATTGTCCAGAATATTCCAAACTAAAGGTGATCTCACCGGCCACAAGGAGAGAAGAAAAAGGATGTCGCACATGTTTGACGGGAAACTACATTTCCCACGATTCCCTGAGGAGATGAACTAAGAAGGTAGAAATGCCTCTAGGGCACAAATGCTTGAAAATAATCTCGGCATGATTTGGAAGATACAGCAACCTTTGATTTCCTTCACGAGGGATGTCGACCTAGGTTAGGAAAAACAGGAACAGACAGAGGTTGAGGTGGTGACACTGCCTATTCCTTCATTCATGACATTTTGGCAGGGAATTCCAGAACTGTTATCAATAGATTTCCTTGTGTTTAGCTCAGCCATGCCAGGCAGATGCCCTCAAGCTGTGTTGCGTTGGCACCTGTTGGAATTTCTGGCTTGGAATTCTGGGGAATTGCATTCGCCAAACTCAAGCACGCTCAGCTATGAAAGGATGAGAATTCAAGAGACGGTCTATTGCCATTGTTAGTCACTCCTAATTGTGCAAAGGCTTGGTGTGGCTTGGGGCTAGTTCATCCTTTGCTGCGTGCAACTTGTGTAGGCAGAATACCTTTGTTTATTGCAACATTTAGCGTAATTACACACAAGGAATTGGAGTGCGCTTAGTAATTAACTTTTTTTAAAATCCAAATTTTCTGGAATGAATTTATCACATAGGTTAAGGTGGAGGAGACACTCATGTCTTTTGTGTTGCAAATTGGAGAGATTTGTTTTCAGGGCGCCTAGGGTTTCCTTGCATAGCAAACAATTCATCCTGCTTTACTGCTCAATATCCAGAGGAATCACACAGTCGCCTGTTAGCTGTAACATGTGAGCAACTGCATTAAGACCCTATTTCTCTTTAATCCTAATAGATATTAATTTCAGCCTCTCTTCCAGCTGTCCAGTTTTACAAGGAGCTAAAAGAAGGAAAGAAAAAGGAAGGAAGGAAGGAAGGAAGGAAGGAAGGAAGGAAGGAAGGAAGGAAGATCTTGATGAAGGAAAGAAAGATCTTGAGGGAGGAAGGAAGAAAGGAAGGAAGGAAGGAAGGAAAGATCTTGAGGGAGGAAGGAAGGAAGGAAGGAAGGAAGGAAGGAAGGAAGGAAGGAAAGATCTTGAGGAAGGAAGGAAAAATCTTGAAGGAAGGAAGGAAGGAAAGATCTTGAAGGAAGGAAGGAAAGATCTTGAGGGAGGGAGGGAGGAAGGAAGGAAGGAAGGAAGGAAGGAAGGAAGGAAGGAAGGAAAGATCTTGAGGAAGGAAGGAAAAATCTCGAGGAAGGAAGGAAGGAAGGAAGGAAGGAAGGAAGGAAGGAAAGATCTTGAGGAAAGAAGGAAAGATCTTGAGGAAGAAAGGAAGGAAGGAAAGATATGATGAAGGAAGGAAGGATCTTGATGAAAGGAAAGAAGGAAAGATTGATGAAGGAAGGAAGAAAAGATTGAGGAAGGAAGAAAGGAGGGAAAGATCTTGAGGAAGGAAGGAAGGAAGGAAGGAAGGAAGGAAGGAAGGAAGGAAGGAAGGAAGGAAGAAAGGAATCCCACACATTCTGGGTTTGCTTTTAAAGCGAGTTGTGCAAAACACAGCAAGTATTTGCATTCCAAGAACTACTTTTTCATTTGCGCACGTTTTGTCCTTCCACTCCCCAATCCCTCAAAAGCTGCCTGGCTGCAGGTTACAATCCACTTAGCTTTTGCTAATCAGAAATGCTGAGCAGTGAAAATCGCTGCCCCGCCTGTAACTGATCCAAATGCTTTAGCCAAACAATCACCAGCATCTCCTAACAAAAGGCCAAACTCTGCATTAAAGGAAAGCAAAAATAAATGACTTGAGACTGCCTCCACCTCCACTCCTACGTCCTCATTTCGCCTGGTGTTTATTTGCCTTGCTGCGAAACATCCCAGTGGTTTCTATGGGAGGGAGGAGAGAGCTGCAACACTACCATGCCACCTTTCCCCTTGGAAGACCTGCTTCTGCTGCCAGGAGATACGAGTGGGAGGCCAGGTGAAGCAGGAACTCCTGCAAAAACGAGTCACCGAATTGCCTACCAGAAGATCCACCAGAGGCCAATTGTCTCTGAAAACAAATTAATTTTACAGTGTTTGATACCATTGAGAATTAGGGAGAATGGTGTTGGCTCTGCAAGGGCCATCTAATCCAGGGGTCTTCAAACCCGGCCCTTTTATGACTCGTGGACTTCAACTCCCAGAATTCCTCAGCCGGGCATGCTGGTTGAAGAATTCTGGGAGTTGAAGTCCACGAGTCATAAAAGGGCCGAGTTTGAAGACCCCTGATCTAGTCTAATCTCCCCTGCTCAGTGCAGAACATATTAATCCAGTTTTTTTCTTCCTTGGAAACTTTAAGAGGAGTTGGACCCCCAACTCCCATAATCCCCCAGCCATCCCTAAAGATATCCCCTCCCCTGCCTCTATCTGAAGCACAGTAAGGGAAATCCATTTCTGCACAAGGCAGAGAGCTCCAGACAATTCTTAACGTAGGGTCCTTGGTGCTCTCTGAGCTTGGTTGTTTTCTTGCAGATGTTTTCATTATCCAACTGGAGATCAAACGCCACTCTCTTCTAGCACTGATGATGTTCCCTAGTTGGGTAATGAAATGTCTGCAAGAAAACCACGAAGCTCTGGGAGAAGCAAGGACTCCACAGTCCTCCTTCTCCTCCTCCTCCTCCTCCTCCTCCTCCTCCTCCTCCTCCTCCTCCTCCCTCTTATCTAGCACTGATGATGTTACCTAGTTGGGTAATGAAACATTTGCAAAAAACCCACCAAAGCTCAAAGAGCACCAGGGACCCCACAGTTCAACCTCTCTTCTATCGACTGAGTTTTAGAACCAGCATTCAATTTTAGGGTCTGTCAAGCAAAGATGTTTGCCAAGCTAGTGTCCAGGTTGGTGTGAAGGTCTACCTGTTTTTATGTATGTTAAAGAACTTTGTTTGTACGGTATTATCAGCGCCACCATTCTGATTTTTTGGACCATGGTTTGCTGTGATTACTATCACAATCACCATCTTGATTTGGTTGCCCATGTGAACATTTCTGCGTAGCTGCTGGCAAGTGAAAAGAAGGGAAAATCCAGCTTGATCTTCAGCTTGGAAGGCCAAATCCAATTAATCCTAAAAATGATTCACCTTGGTCAGGGGCCTTCAAACTTGGCTCTTTTATGACTTGTGGACTTCAACTCCCAGAATTCCTCAGCCGGGCATGCTGGCTGAGAGATTCTGGGAGTTGAAGTCCACAAGTCATAAAAGGGCCAAGCTTGAAGACCCCTGACCTTAGTGGTCAACTATGATAGAGGTCTACTTATGGCAGGAAGAGTAAGATGTAGTTTACCTGACAGAGAGTATTCTCCCTTGTTACTCTCGCTGTCCCGAATAAGGAAGGAGCCGTGGTGATTTGGGGGAGAGAGAAGTAGCTGGTTGGCTTTATTTCTTGTGATTCCGCTTATGTACCAACTGAGAAGAAAAGAGGTGAGAGCGGATTAAACCATAAGCCAATCTCTCAGTTGTCTTCAGTACAAATAATAAAGAAAGAAAAAAAAAACCATTTCAAACACCTAAGTCAGGGGTAGGTAACCTTGACTCTTTTATGACTTGTGGACTTCAACTCCCAGAATTCCTGAGCCAGCATGGCTCAGATTAGAAACCTCTCCCTTTCCCCCTCAGCGTGGCTGGCTCAGGAATTCTGGGAGTTGAAGTCCACGAGTCATAAAAGAGCCAAGCTTGCCTACCCCTGGCCTAAGTCATGTTCAGGGCACCCCAAAAGTGTTTTCGGTTGTTCCAAATTTTTTTTAAAAAATTGTTTGCTTGAGTTTTCTTTAAAAATATTTACATAGTGCTGGTACACTGGAACATGCCCGTGATGTTTGAGACGTGATGTTTCCCCACATGCTTATCCTTTACATAAACAATGCAATTCCATTCTCTCTTGCAAAACGGTGAGTCACTGCTTTGGCTTGCCACGCACTGGATTTTAATCAGGGGCATTTTCGAGTTCATGAAAAGATCGGTTCTGTTCATGCCATCTTGCTGAGACTTTCTCCAAATATTTCCATATTTTAACAATGACTAATTTGGCAGCTGTAATTAAAAAGGTACAGCGATTTCTTATTTACAATGTTGTGGTTTTTCTGCCCATCAAGAAGGTGAGGGATGCTTGGTGCTCTCTAAGCTTGGTGGTTTTCTTGCAGATGTTTCATTATTGAAACGAGGTAACATCATCAGTGCGTTTATGATGTTACCTAGTATAGGTTGTGAAATGTCTGCAAGAAAGCCACCAAGCTCAGAGAGCACCAAGGACCCCTCATTTCAACCCTGAGCTACAGAGATTCTCCTTTATTGGCATTAAGTATGACTCACATAATAGAGATAGAGATGGAGATGGAGATGGAGATGGAGATGAAGATAGGGAATAGGGAATAGAGTAGAGTAGAGTAGAGTAGAGTAGAGTAGAGTAGAATAGAATAGAATAGAATATAGAATAGAACAGAATAGAAATAAGAATAGAATAGAATAGAAATAAGAATATAATAGAATAGAAATAAGAATAGAATAGAAATTAGAGTAGAGTAGAGTAGAGTAGAGTAGAACAGAACAGAATAGAATAGAAATAAGAATAGAATAGAAATTAGAATAGAATAGAGTAGAATAGAACAGAATAGAACAGAACAGAACAGAATAGAATAGAAATAAGAATAGAATAGAATAGAATAGAATAGAAATAAGAATAGAAATTAGAGTAGAGTAGAGTAGAGTAGAGTAGAGTAGAGTAGAATAGAATAGAATATAGAGTAGAACAGAATAGAAATAAGAATAGAATAGAATAGAAATAAGAATAGAATAGAAATAAGAATAGAATAGAAATTAGAGTAGAGTAGAGTAGAATAGAATATAGAATAGAACAGAATAGAAATAAGAATAGAATAGAATAGAAATAAGAATATAATAGAATAGAAATAAGAATAGAATAGAAATTAGAGTAGAGTAGAGTAGAGTAGAACAGAACAGAACAGAATAGAATAGAAATAAGAATAGAATAGAAATTAGAATAGAATAGAGTAGAATAGAATAGAACAGAATAGAACAGAACAGAACAGAATAGAATAGAAATAAGAATAGAATAGAATAGAATAGAAATAAGAATAGAAATTAGAGTAGAGTAGAGTAGAATAGAACAGAATAGAAATAAGAATAGAATAGAATAGAATAGAAATAAGAATAGAATAGAAATTAGAGTAGAGTAGAGTAGAGTAGAGTAGAACAGAACAGAATAGAATAGAAATAAGAATAGAATAGAAATAAGAATAGAAATTAGAGTAGAGTAGAGTAGAGTAGAGTAGAATAGAATAGAATAGAATAGAATAGAATAGAATAGAATAGAATAGAATAGAATAGAATTCTGTATTGGCCAGGTATGATTGGACACACAAGGAATTTGTCTCCAGTGCATAAGCTCTCAGTGTACATACAAGCAACATCATGATCATAAATCATGATCATAATCATAATAAAATACATTCATCATAAATCGTAAGATACAACACTTAGTGATAGTCATAGGATACTAAATAAGCAATCAACATAAATCGTACAAGAATACTAAATGAAACAATATAAATCATAACATACAAGCAACAAAGTTATAGCCATAAGAAGATAAGGAAATAGATAATAGGAAAGATGAGAAGAAGAATAGTAATACAGCCCTACTAGGTAATTTGAAGTGTTTTGGGGAATTAGTTGTTTAGCAGAGAGATAGCATGGGGAAAAACTGTCCTTGTGTCTAATTGTTTTGGCATGCAGTGCCTTACAGTGTCGTCTTGAGGGAAGAAGTTAGCTAAAAGAAGAAGCAGAGTTATTCAATCTCAGATTTTATCTTGTAGTTACAATATCACAGCAGAGGTTGGCTGTTGTTATAAAAGGCTAAAGACTGTCAGATCTGACTCCTAGTGACTTTCATGGACACATCTTACCTGCAGTCTTAGAATTGCTTTGGTGATCTCCCACCCAAACCCTAGGTAGATGTGGCTATACTAATTCAAATGTACAGGTATGGTATAGGTATACCTGGCTCAATAGTAGTAATTGTGAGAGGAATCTTGGAGTCCTAGTGGACAATCACTTAATTATAAGCCAGCAGTGTGTGGCAGCAGCCAAAAAGGCCATTGCAAATCCTAGGTTTCATTAACGGGGATAGAATCAAGCTCATGTGAAGTAATAGTACCACTTCATAAAGCCTTAGTAAGACCACACTTGGAATACTGCATCCAGTTTCGGTCACCACATTATAAAAAAAGATGTTGAGACTTTGGAAAGAGTGAGAGAAGAGCAAGAAAGATGATTAGAGAACTGGAGGCTAAAACATATGAATGATTGCAGGAGTTGGGTACGGCTAGACTAGAGAAAAGGAGGATTAGGGGTGGCATGATAGCAGCGTTCCAGTTTTGAGGGCTGTCACAAAGACAAGGGGGTCAACTTATTTTCCAAAGCACCAGAAGGCAAGAAACAATGGATGGAAATCAAGGAAAGAAGCAACCTAGAACTAAGAAGAAACAGAACAGTGAATCAGTGGAACGGCTTGCCTTCAGAAGTTGTGGGTGCTCCATCACTGGAGGTTTTTAAGAAGAGGTCGGACAACCGTTTGTCTGAAATAGTGTAGCATTTCCTGCTTGAACAGAGAACAGACTAGAAGACCTCCAAAGTCCCTTCCAGGTCTGTTCTGTTCTGTTTAGCCATGATCAGCTAGGTCTAGGAAATGTCCATCAGGGATCACAAGATGCTATAAAACAGTGGTTCTCAACCTGTGGGTCGGGACCCCATTTGGGGTCGAATGACCATTTCACGGGGGTCGCCAAACAACGCAGTCCGCCATTTTTTCCCCCTTTTCCTTAGCTGTGCTACTCCCTTTTATTCTATTGGCTTTTGAAAGCCAATAGAATAGACTCTCTTGAATAGAGTCTAATTCTATTGGCTTTCAAAAGCCAATAGGAATTGTCCAGGCTGTCTCTGCCCTGCTGAGCCCACCAAAAGTCCCATTCTGCAAACGGTGCTGCACCAGTGGAGTAGTCCTCGATTTACGACCGGTTGAGTAGTCCTCGACTTATGACCGGTTGGGGGGTCGCAGCATTAAAAAGGTTGAGAACCACTGCTATAAAACAATAGTGAAGAAATGGCCTTTTATCTCCCCCTTCATCAAATAGGGGGGAAAAAAATCAGAACAAAGGCATATTTCAATAGCGCAATTACAGGCATGGAAAGAATTAAGCAAGTCTTCTTCATCAAAAGAAAAAGATAGGTGTCTAATCTCAAACCTCACTGAAATAATTAGCCTTTCTTTTGTTTTAGTTCCCTGCAGGATCGGTCTTGTTTAAAGTTTTCGGTTTGTAAAAGTGTCTTAACATGTGCTGGAAAGAAAGAACATCTTCAGCGAGGGCTGAATTTTTCTTCTTCCAACTTTCTCACTCTTCAGACGGCTGTTGTTATTATTGTTTCCCTTTCCTGTTTCCAGCAACTTCTCCCCAGAACTGGTTTTCCTATCCCTTCCAGATCCAAAGTCACTATATGTGCTGGACCAGTATGTAGCCATCTGGTCAGAGTATATAGCTAGCTTAGAAAACTGTGTGTAGAGCAAGTAGCATTTTAAGGGTTAAAGTGTTGTCCTCTTAAGGGTGGCCTTCTGGGAAATGTAGTTTAGTTGTTACATGGTTATATCTGTGTTCTAATTGGCCACTGGGAGGGTCTTGTGTTTTTATTACGGGACATCCTGTTACATGCCAGTTTTATTATCTCTCTCCATGAATCCTAGCCATGAGGCTCACAGTGTTTCTCAACCTTGACAATTTTAAGGTATGTGGACTTCAACTCCCAGAATTCCACAGCCAGCAATGCTGGCTGTGGAATTCTGGGAGTTGAAGTCCACATGCCTTAAAATTGTCAAGGTTGAGAAACACTGCTCGGAGCTCCGTAGCAGCATGTAAGCTTTGTGAAGATGGAGGAAAATTATTCTCTTTTTACTGGCATAAATGGACAGAATATGAAATGTGCCTCAGAAGAACTCTTCATTAACTGTGAGCTATTGTTTTGAGGTTCCTGAAGAATAAATATTCTGCATGTTACCATTTCATCAAGTTATTCTATCTGGATTATGGCCGGAGCAACTGCCTGCATCCAGAATAGTAAAAAGAGAATAATTTTCCTCCATCTTTACAAAGAGAGGGTCCCAATGGGCAAGATGGCAGCCGTGACTTCCCAGAAGGACAAAGGTGAAGCACTGAGAAAAATTAATCAGCGGAATAGCTTGCCTCCTGGAGTTGTGGATGCATCATCGCTGGAGATTTTCAAGAATAGCTTGGACAACCATTTGACAGGGATGGTATAAGACAGTGACGGAGAACCTTTTAGAGACCGAGTGCCCAAACTGCAATCCAAAACCCACTTATGCATCGTCGAGTGCCGGG